AATACAGCCAAGATCGTTCCAGTGACCAACCTATTTTCTCTTAGCTGATGAGACCAGCATCATTATTACAGTATTTTATGTAGGAACCGGCACCGATATACAGCTATTCTCAGGTGCTATTGTCATTTTCCGTCATTTCTCAGGGTAAAAAAGCTCCTATCCAATCTCTAGCGCCAATACCTGCATAGCGAGTTTGGCGAGTTTTTGCGGTATGTCTGTCTAACAAGAAATCCTTTTATTGTACTAGTGCTTTAGTTTATTCCCAATCCAGCGATAGAGAAAACTAGCTGGAATCCTGCTGTTTAGGGGAAGTCTTATCTTCTATTCAGCTCTCCGTTCCAATAGACCTTACTTCCGATAGACTTACGGGAAGTCCTCCAATATATCATACTCAATCAGAGGTCATTCATCCACTATCGGTTAGCGCCCGGGTTAGGTAAGAACCGCCACGATTTAGTATACTCATCCATCGTAGCCGGAAACAGGAGAACGGGACACCTTGACACTGGGACGCGAGTGATTGGTAATGATCAAGTATCCAATTCCTTTTAATTCATGCTAATTTAGACTACGGTACAGTAGTTATCATAACTCTTCAAGTATATATCAACCCATCCATCAGAGCACCGTTTCCTCATACGTCCTACCCTACACCACCTCCAAAGTAACGCAAAAGAAAGAAAACAAATGGACAAGACCAGACCAGGCCAGCATGCATGAGGAAATGCGAACAAAGCAGAAAAAACAGGGGAAAAAAGCAAACTCCGAAGCCAATCAATCTCCCAACCTGCCCTGAACACCGATTTTCTGTTATTTTTGTAGTTTTGTCGTTTGGTGATTTTTGCACGTTGAAAGGAGAAAACGAAAAAGAGAATGCAAACACGGGTAAAGTGAAGTGGGCCAGCAGCGCAAGTATAAAGGATGAAGGGGGAATAGAGAAGGTCGATTATACTCCGCCCACCTCACCAACTCCTACAAACTCCTTTACCGCTTTGCTCGTACCCTCCTTTGCCAAGCCCGCTCCCGCAGGCGGTGGTTGTGGGGATAGCGAAGGAGTGGAAGCAGAATCGACCTTCTCCCTCCTCAGTGGCTCTGGGGGGAATGGCGGCGGGGAGGGGGTGGATAACCTCATGCTAACCGGGGACTGTGGGGCGTCGGTCATCAATGCAGACCTCAGAGAGACGGTCTTCGAGACTGATCCTGAGGACGGGAGTGGGGCTGAAGCTGGGTCCTTTTCTTACACAATTGTTAGAGAATCACGCATATATGAATTATTTTGTGAGGGGAGCTCACAGGGGAAGCGGCCAAGCCCCTCTGTATCGCAAGTTTCCTCACCGCCTCCTGTTTCCCCCCAATCTCCAATTCACCATGTTCCCGGGCGGTTTGTTCTTCGAGGCGCAGTGCGTCACCGTCCGGCGGTGGCGGTGGGGATGGTGATTCCTCGTCTCGGGAGCAGACAACGACTAGATTGTCGTCTGTGGTATTACCAAGGAAGTCGTCGCCGATAGGTATTGCGTCGTCGTCGTCCTCGCTAGGCCACAAGTCCCCCCGACTACGCAGACTCTCGCCGGCGCTTTCGCCGGAGCTATTCGTAGCGCTGCGCCTTCGTCCCCCGCCAGCCTCTCCTCTTCCACCTCCGATGCCGGGGCTGATCGAGCGGTCCCGACCAGATTCTTCCTCTACGGCTGTCAGGCCGGTGTTGCGCTGTGGGTGTTCTTGAAGGTTTGCGGCAGAGGGTTTATACCGCAGGCCACGGCCGCGGAAACTTGCGAAGCGGGCTAGGAAGCCGAACATACTTGTCGTGGGTATCACCGTAGGATCCGATTCGTTTGGCAAATTACACTTCCTCTTCCCGCTGAGGGCTCCAACGGCACTTGTTGATGCTGAAGATCCGTAGTACATTCCCCCTCCAGCCCCCCGATACCCACCACTGCCACCGCTTCCACCACCGCCTCCGTCTCCAGCTCCACTGCCAGCGAGTAACCGATCTAACTCATCATTCCCCCAGGCCAGAAACCCACCACCCCGCCGGGACGTCTCCTCATCCGAGTAATCGTCGTAATCATAGAACCCAAAAGGGTACTCGCTGCGTCCGCCCCGTCTGTGGTGATGTGTATTGTGTGGCCGTTGCTGGGGTAGGCAATTTGACAAAGAGGCTAGACAAGGGTCCAAACATGACTTTGCAAACGTGAAGCAGCCCGTGCGAGCGTTGTCCGATGCGTTCTCGAGAGAGGTCGAGATGCGGTTTAGTGATTGGCGGATGCGGGGGTCTGTACGCATTTTGACTCTTTTCTCCTTTTCCTTCCTTCCCCCCTTTTCGCTCCCGACCGTAGGTGTGCGTGTGTATCGTATCTCGATCTACGATGGATGAATGGAAGACGTAGTGGGAGCAGCAGTGGGGGGGGGACTGTGATTGCGATGTTATTTTTTTGGGTTGTTTGGTTGGGAGGAGGAGGGGGGAGTGGTGGTGGCTGGTTGGTGGAAACGGTAGTTCTTGGAGTGAGGTTTTTGTGGATTAAGGTTAGCTGTGCTCTCACAGCCCTGCCGCTGTCGGATAACTTGGTTCGAGTATAAGTTACCCGCGTCGTTGAAATGATCGCCGGCTAATGGTTAATGCCGAGTATGGCACGTCGGACGGGGGGGCACAAGGGGGGGGTCGATGTTCGAGCTTTGAAACCAAATCTTGAGATGGGGCCAGGATGGGGTGAGAAAGAAGGAAGGAAGAGAAAAAAAAAAGGATTAAACCTAGTCGTCGCGGACGTTGATAGCGTAATTAAGAACAAGTCCAGCAGCGGTAACATTCAATGGTTTGTGAAATCGATGTTCTTCTCCCATCACCATCATCATCATCATCATCATCATCATCATCATGTTCATCACAAAGCACCGCTATTCTTGTTGAGGCTGAAAAGAAAAGAAAACAATAAAAAACGCAGCTGAATGAGAGGGAGCGCGGAAGGGAAAGGAAGGGAGGGAAGGGTGGATTGGTTCGAAAGGGATGTATGTAAGCGAAGCAACCGACGCCTTCCATTCACCCATTCCAGAAGGGAAATGGCATGCCCAACCCAACCAACCGGTTCATTGCTCCTCCATTTGCTACACAAAGCCTACCTTCTTCTTTGTTTCCGAGTGACATTGCGAGTACCCGGGGGTACTGTACCGGTACCGGTATTGTCTCCCGACAGAGATATATCACAAAAGAGAAGAGCGGAAAAAAGTGAAACCTCCTTGAACGTGTATGATAAACCCCGTTACCCGGAGCCTTTTTTTTTCTTTTTTTCTTTTTTTTGCTTTTCCGATCCTTCATCATATCATAATTATCGCATCATACAAGTATCATATCATAAGAAAAAGCCCTACGGTGCTGTACTGTACAGTACTATACTAGCACGAGTACCGGTACTGGTACCGGCACCGGTGCTCCAGTACCGTACCTCCCTCCCTCCCTTCCTCCCTCCCGTTCGTCAACCCGCACCCTCCTCGATCCGTAGATTTGAGTCCTCGATCCCTGACAACTGCCTACGGAGCGTAGGGAAGAAGAAGCAACTACTATGTGGTAACAGTATGGTATGATACAGTACTGTACGGTTGCGGACGGGAAGAGAGGGACCGCGAGCGAGATGGTGGAGATGGGCACATACCGGTACCGTGCTCAGATTGTATCGTGCCGAATTATTACGGTAGGGTCTAGCTTGTATCGTATCCCTTTTTTTCTTTCCTTCCTCCCCATCTCTATACTGTGTGTGGGTGGGTGCCCCGTAGACTAGCATGTACTCGAGTACAGTGTCGTGCCGGTACAGTGCATGCTCGGCGGGATCGGAAAACCAGCGCTGGAATCAAAATCCAAGGGAGGAGAGGTACCGGTTGCTGCTGTGCGTAGTCTGGGTCGATCAATAGGGTTCAATTGAGGAGTGAGTAAAAAAGTGAAGGAGGAAATACCATCAGCAACAACTTACTGTATCAAACCTCGTTGCTGCTCCAGCTGTCCATCCGCTGCTACGGCATGATATGCACACCTCCGATCAAAAAGATCAGAAGGAAAAAGAAAGATAAGGGAGAAGAAAGGAGAAAAAGAAAAAAAGGCATTCTAGATTACGGCAACTTGCTGGGGTGCAGCACAGTACAGCAGACAGCTCATAAATGCTTTGTCTATCTGCCTGTGCTATCATACGGGAGCATTCATAATCCCGGTGGGGAAAAAATTAAAATAAAATTTACACCTCTTGTATTTTTTTATATATATTATTATACTGGTGTACGATACAGTAGGGTAGTCCCGATCAACCCGTCTGCCTCCTGCTCCCCTCCTCTTATTCGCGATTGCCGATAATGAGCGCCCGAGAAGACGCACAGTGTTCAGGGATAAGTTTTTTTTTTCCTTCTCCCCCCGCTTTCATTAACTGTTCAATGCCTTACATGCCAACATCCAGATAGAGGGGGATCTGGAGGGAAGTAAAAAAAGAAAAGAAAAAAGGAAATAAGAACCTGGGAAGGGGAGAAGTTCGGAAAGGGGCGCTAAAGACACAGGGGAATACGGTAGCTGGTGGAACGGAGGTATGGATCAAGATGGTGGTAAAGAAGAGATGCGAGCCTGGTGAGTAACTCAACCGAAAAACTATTATCATATCGTACCAAAATGGGGACCGAAGGGAAACGGACAGAAGACCACCCTTCTCATTTTGGGCAGAATGGGCGGGTACCACAAACCTTTAATATGGACCGAGGAGGTTAAGGGGAAAGAAGAAAGAAAGAACCGAGAAAAGGAGTCCCGCACTATCAGGGGCACAGAGGGAGACAAATGAACAAAACGTGACAAAAAGGATATGCATATAGAGGAGCGTATGAGAGGCGATCATAAGAAAAAACATAATTGTAGCCATGATTCAAGAAAACAAAGAGCAAAGAATAGACTGGTAACGCCTCGCCTCGGTTTCGCCAAGTATGTTTTGCGCGCCGTTCGATCTCCATTCGCCTACGTTTAAGCATGGGATGATGATCCGTGATTCGGTGTCGGCGCTGCCCTTCGGACGGGCTCGAAGTAAGGGTGGGCCATGGCCTCCTTTGCGGTCAGGCGTTCCTGAGAACCAAGACCCGTCAGTATCATCAGGGGGATGTAGAATGTGACTAGGAATATACCTGATGATCATATCTCAACAATTTGTCTAAAAAGTCAAGAGCGTCATTGCTAACGAAACGTTGGTTATCGGCATTAACGAATTGGTGCCAGCTCTTCTTAGGGAATCGTCCTAGGATATCGTCGTACTGGGTATCGAGCTCAATGTCGTATTTGTCGAGGTAGTCGAATAATTCCTCCGTCCCTAGGACCTTTGCAATCTTCACGAGCTGGTCCGAGTTAGAGTTACCATGGAAGAAGGGCTCCTTGCGGAAGATCATCGACGCGAACATAGCACCCAGAGACCAGAGATCGAGGGAATAATCGTATTCCTGATAATCAACGAGCAGTTCCGGACCTTTGAAATATCTCGATGCAACGCGGACATTGTATTCGGTCCCGGCGTGGTAGAATTCGGCGAGACCCCAGTCGATCAACCTCAGCTATTGGCGCAACCATCAGCTCTCTGCACGCATCGGGCGCGTTTGGGATTTGTGAAACCAACCTTCCGCTTCTCGTGGTCAATCATGACATTGTGGGGCTTGACGTCTCTATGCATGATACCCTTACTATGACAGAAGTCGAGTGCCTAAAGGATTCCGAAGGTTAGCTGCCACCAAAAACCTCCCGATCCGCGTTGACACCTCAGAGGACGCTAACCTTGAGCAGCTCGTAGATATAGTAGCGCACATCGTAATCCTGGAACTTCGGGTAGAGGCTACGAAAGTCGGTGTTGTTTATGTACTCGAATATTAACGAGGGTGTCTTACTCTGATGTGGTAGAACATCGACGTTAGAGCAGCTCATACGTAATACCAATTAGAACCGGGCCAAGGCAACAAACCTGAGGATCCCTGACAACATCTAACAGAGCGACGATGTTCGGACCTCCGGAGAGATTCTGCAGGATCTTGATCTCGCGCTTAATCTTCTTCTTCTTGACCGGCTTCAGAACCTTGATAACGGTTTTCTGGTAATTTGTGATGTTTATTCCCTCGAACACTTCCGAGTATTTACCTCGACCTGCGGTAGGGGGCCAGGCAAAGGAATATATCAGCAAAGCCGGGTTCGGAAAGCGGCAGGTTCTGAGGAATAGAGAAACTAACCAATTTTGCGCACGACTTCGTAGTTCTCAAGAACACCCCACTGAATGTTGACCGAGTCATAGTCCCAATATGCTCTAGGCATATGCTGATTGACCTGCACCGTGTTTAAAACTGCGGATTAGCCACACGTTCTCAATTTTCCCTGTTACCTCCGTAGCAAAAATATCGCGTCCGGGACTACTCGAGCATTGTTATGTCGTAGTCTCGCTTGCGACATCGAATTTCCGGCAGGGGATTAGAAAAGTTAGAAAACAACCAGGGGTGTTACATCAGCATAAACGCGAGCCATTGTCTTGACTCCGCAACGAAAGGCCCGGAAGAAAGGTATAGGAGATAAGTTTGGTGACTATTTTAGAAATCGGGATAAAGGGTAGCGGGGGGGCGGAGAAGTTGACGCCGCGATGGGGGATTGTTGGTGTAGTAGCGGTGATGGCGGGAGAAAAATGAAGGAGGGAGAGGTGGATTTAAGCACGGTAGATGCTAACACGCAGAGCGGAACAGAACTGCAGGTGATGGTTGAGGGTACGGAGGAGGTGGTGTTACGGTGGAGCTGGGCCGCGCTCTGTTTGATAGAAGGAGGGGGCAGAGGGGTGTGCGGCAACACCAGTAGTCATGGAAGGGGGGTGGGGGGGAGCGTTGCGAGGTGGGAGGAGGAGGTGATGGTGGTGCGAAGAGGGATCTCCAAGGGAAAGTTGGTACAAGCCCTTGCGAGAAGGGTAAGACAACGACGACAACCTAAACCGAAAGTCTACAAGGGTGTGGGGCGCCCGGCAGTGCGTTCACTTCATCTTCCGGAAACTATCATAATTCGAATATCCTGTGTAATCAGGGCTCAGCAACAGCCAAGTTTCTTCACGAACCATAGAATGTTGTGCCCCGCGGCATGGCCAGGAGTGGAGCTTCCACCAAGAGCACCAGGAGCACATAAAGTGAAAGAGGGGGTGGATATATGGAGGTAGGAAGAAAGTAAAATCGAGTCGGCCTTCACAGCTTCGTTCTGTTTAGAATTTCCCTTCAGAGCATGGCATAGCAGAGTATCATTGGAGCGGTTTCGACAGTTCACCAGTGTCGTTCTTCCGTTCGCACAGCTTCTCCCGCAAAGAAGCGGGCATGGTCACGACATATCGTCGAACGCATTATATTGGCCCCACCGTACCGGTTCCGGGACTGGAGCCCACGGTCAAACCAAGACATATCTAACCGTCGTGGAGAGCTGCCATGATAGCGGCACCCGGTAGGCAGGCAGGAAAGAAGGAAAAAATAGATACGTATAAAAATTTACTGTACAGCGCAGCAATCGTCCCAACTTCTCTGGGTTAATATGTGGCTCCTTATGGAATGGTGGGGAAGGGAAAGTGCTAGAGATTACCGGTACTTGTATGTGGTCAGAAGTGTTGCGGCGATAACCTAAAATCACACCCCCGCGCTGCAATCAGAGAACCGGCCAAGAGAAGGGTGGGGTCAAAAGAGTCAGCGATGGACACGGTGGCTCGAATACCGGTACCGCTATCCTCGCTATTTCCCAAGCTTTCTGCGACTGTATGATACCCTCTCACAGCAGATGCGGTTCCGGAGAGGATTCGATAACAAAATGATATGACTCTCGTTATACTCGGGTAGCTATATTCTGCGGGGGTTTCCAGCTTATGCTTGGATGGCATTGGGGCCTGGGGTGATGGATGACCTCTTGGCATCGTATGGAGTCGAATGTTAAGAAGAGGTAGCCTCATATCATACTGGTACCGTAGCCTACTCGTACAGCCGGTGAAGCCCACGCCGTTGAGGCTCTTTACTGGCGTGACAAGTTCTACTTGTGCGGTGCCGGTACGATACCGGCGTTCTTCTAGCGCGGCACCGGTACGCACAGTACACGTTCAACCCATTAGACTAAAGCCGCACATTCTCTCCCCCTCCCCAACACCCGTATTTTGAATCGTCCCGACCAATCCACACAAACCTCTCTGTGCCTCGACGTCTGGTTCTCCACCACTCAGATGTTCTACGACCTCAACGTTCCCTGGGCTCCCACTTCCCCGGATCTTCCGCGAACCGTGGCTTTCCTGAACGAGCGTAAGGCATCTCGTTTCTTCGGAGTTGGGATACCATTAGGAAACTGACCGTCGAGCAAATAGTGGGCTACAATGTGATTGCCTTATCCCATACCCACTCGGGGAAATTCCCGCAAAACCAAGTATGTGATTCCCCCCCCCCCCCCGCCACCACCACCGCTTCTGCCGTACTCGGGCTTCCCGTTTGTTCGTTTATCTATCCGGGGGGTCCCGCTAATACGTCCATTTTCTCTCCAGCTCAATCCAATCCCGGAGAATCCCTTTCCCAAACACCCGAACCTCCAAATACTCCGCCGAATAACGGTTATCCTTGGTGACCCCTCTCAGAACCACCGACTCGCCGCCCTAACCTCCGCCTATGACATTGTTGCTCTGCGGCCTACAAGCGAGAAGCATCTGTTGCAGGCCTGCAAGGAATTGGATTGCGACCTCATCTCTGTCGACCTCTCGCAACGCATGGGCTACCACTTCAAGCATAAGACGGTTGGACTGGCGATCCAGCGGGGGATATTCCTCGAAATAAACTACTCTGCTAGCATCAATGATATCACCGCACGAAGAAATCTGATAGGAAACGCAGCAGCATTAATACGAGCAACAAGAGGACGGGGAATCGTCATTAGCAGTGAAGCGAGGAGAGCTCTGGGCGTCAGGGGCCCATTCGACGTGATCAATCTCGCAACACTATGGGGATTAAGTCAGGATAAAGGCAGAGAGGCGGTGGATGGGCTTCCTCGTCTAGTGGTGGTATGGTCTCCCCCGGATTCTTATGTTTTGAGTATTGCGGACTGGACCGAGCTGATGTTACTGGCTAGGCACAAGCGAAATTGAGAAGGACTTCTTTCCGAGGTGTTATAGATGCTGTCGCCAACGAGCCTCCCCATGGAAATAAGCGAAAAGCAGAAGACCAAGCCGACCCATCAGATCAACCAATGACAGAAGCAAGCCCAAAGACAAAAGACACGGAGGCCCTACCAAAGCTATCCAAGAAAGCTCGAAGAGCCTTGGCCCGTGCGCCAAAATCATGAGCCACTCATCCTATTATTCAACAGGACTGTACTGCTGCCTACTGTATAACAGATGACTGAAAGATGGAGTCTGGTGCATGTTTGAATAGGTCCTTTAATAGATATCTCAAAGGTCAAATTTCAATTACAAAATCCAACCCTCTGTGCTGTCCAACCAACCCTCTTACGCATATGTCCCGGCACAGACCCGTCGAACTCTCCACACACACACAAGCTTTTGAGCCTCAATGCGCTCCCATCCCGTCATCCACCCCTTACCCATCCGGCCGCCTGTCATCCTGCGGGGTTGTGCCCTGGTTACCCGGATTGCGCGTTACTCCGTACAGTACATTTACGGCACGGGGCCGGCATGCTGCGAAACTACCGGTATAGTCTAGTACACTCGAGCACACTGTATATGCATGCATCCTCGTACAGCTTACATTGCAGCCTTTAGAGGAGCCTGGCGATGGCGGTGATGGTGAGTTGTCTAAGTGTGGGAGCGGCAGGAGGGTGATACCGGTAGGTTAGCTGGTGGATACTGTACTCGAGTAGTGGAGGGGGGTGGCCGGAAGCTCGGTTGTGAGTGGATAGAGAATTCTATTTATTTATTTATATATTTATCTATTTATTTCTTCCCTTTTACACTTCTCTAAATAATAATGGAGATTGGACCCTGGAGGTTGCATGTGCTCATCTGATGGGGTGGGAGGGGTGGTTTGGATGGTTTGGACGAGGTTTGAGGAGGGGGGAGAGGCGGTGTTCATGGTTGGGAAGTTTAACCATCGGGATATTGGTACCGGGCAAATCTTCCATGATGGGTGGAAGGTCGTGGAAGGGAAGATACAGGCGGCTAATGCCCTGGGCTCTGGTAGGAGATTCATTGTAGACCTGTGTGTCCTCTTTCCTGAGACGTCGCTAGGGGATGCATAAACACTTGCCCAGTCGGGCCTGGGGAGGCTGCGGAGATGCTGAGACTGCCGTAGCATCATATCATACTCCGATTAGCATGGGCTCGTTTTCCATGACCGAACATTTAGGATCTATAGTATGTCACTCGGACTCCGAGACAGGGTATTAACTTACTGTGGAGGGATACCGGTATATCATAGCCCGTCGAGGGTCCGTTTACCTACAGATGACTATCTAGTGGATGGAGAGGGTTACACCCGCACAGTGTCTGGAGGCGTTTGCCTTGAGTGCGAACAGTACCGTCTACTTCCACTTTATAAATTTCAGACGCAGATGGTCAGGTACGGTAAACGGGCCCTGAATGTAAAATACGGATGGGTTACCGTGTGGGCTGTTGCTCGTCAATGCCTTCGTCATTCGCGATTCGCGCGACTATTTCTCGAGGACCCACAACCAGATGACTTGAATGATCGCGTGAGGCCTCCGTCGGCAAACAAGCGATCCGCTGTTGAGACGTCCATATAAGCTTCGGATCGGGCTAGCCCTACCGCTAAGTGAAGGAGTCCCTGCGCTCATGGAATTTCCGGCTTCGAGATCCGCTAGCGGCCGATCTTGGCAGATAGAGGGGCACCAAGGACCCCACCTTATTTGAGCCGCAAGTATGATATGGCTGGGGAGGGAAGGCAACGTATCATACCGTGTGCACAAAAGTTTTTCCCAGAGGACCTGGCACTCGTAATGCTAGCTGCCGCGTAGTCGCTGTGTTTGTTATCTCTTCTGTTTCCCATACTCCCTCCTTTCCCCCTATTCACCCCTCATATCACCTTCTTTTCTTCGTCCTCCTCGCCCTCCCCCTCCTCTTCGATCTCGAAGTATTCCTATCTCTCTGCCGCCGCCGCCCGCTCCTTGCCCCTCCAGTGCGTTCTTCCTACAATACTGTACGCTTTGTGGTTTGTTGTAGTTGTAGGAAGGCTCCCCGCATAGGAACTAATCAGCCCTCCCCCCCCCAATCCTTCTCGCCAAAGGTGTCTGGTTTGTTCTACTTTGTAGTGCAGTTTCATCTGGAAAGATCCGGAATGGAGCCTCGATCGGGCCCGGAGGCTGTTGTGGAGGATTGGTCTGCTGTTTTTGTCCATGCCGGAGCCGGTTATCACTCCATTCCCAATGAGCCTGCTCATCGTGAAGCTTGCGCCTCGTTAGTAACCTGTCTCCTTCCCCCCGTTTTATTTAACCTGGTGAGGGGGACTGCTGCGCGATTTGAGGGTTTTCTAACTTCCAATTTTTCTCACAGGGCCTGCCGGGCTGCAATTGTGTTCCTCAAGAATGGCGGGTCCGCCACGGATGGCGTTGAAATGGCTTTGAAAAGCTTGGAAGATAATGAGATTACCAATTCTGGTTATGGGAGCAATTTATCTTTGGATGGGACAGTCGAGTGTGACGCCTCCATTATGGAGGAGAGTGGGCGTTCTGGAGCTGTGGGAGCTGTTTGGGGTAACTATTATCTTGATCCATTTGTAGGCCTCATTGGCTATTGCCTTTAGCGAGCTAACCGGTTCATAGCATTTAAAAACCCTTCGGCGCTCGCCCGCCTTGTCCTGGACAACACTCGTAAACCGCTATCACTTAAGAGGGTCCCTCCTATTCTCTTAGTCGGCCATGGCGCTCTTGCCTATGCGAAGGAACATTTGTTCCCCGAGGTTGATAACAAAGTGCTCGTTACTAGGCATGCACACGCTCGTTGGAACAAGTGGAGAAAGGAGCTTGATATATTGGAGCAACAGGAGCGGGCGACCAATAAGCGCCAAAGAGTGAACCGACGCCTCAGCCCTGCAGCCAAGCCGGCCGCGGAAAAAGCCGCTGTGAGGGCACCAATACATCCGGATAACGAGGATCTGGTTACAGATACTGTCGGTTGTATTTGTGTTGACCGTTGGGGAAATGTTGCTGCGGGAAGTAGCTCTGGTGGTATTGGGATGAAGCATCGTGGCAGGATTGGGCCGGCGGCATTGATTGGTGTCGGGACCTGGATTGCTCGTGAGGGCCAGTCGGTTGTTGCGGCCACATGTTCTGGTAAGCTCGTTATTCAATTCTTTGTATTTTCATAGATAAGTGCTTCTGACGATGGATGACGTAGGCACTGGTGAACAGATGGCTCATACACTTATTGCGTCCAAGGCTGTTAGCCGTATAATCGCTATGGAAGACGAGATCGAGGGCCTAAAGAATAGTATTGAGCAAGACTTTATGGGTTGGCCGGCTCAATGATGGTTTGAACGTGTGGGATACTATTTGCTAATGGCTGATAGGTTCGAGAATTGTCAAAGAGTCGGTCATGTCTTCTGCAGTAGGTATTATAGCTGTCAAGATCGATAAAGATTCTTCGAAGGGTAGGATCAAGTTTCTCTATGGGCACACCACTGACAGTATGGTATTTCACTCTACCATAATCATTCCTCGCGGCTCGGTATCAACGCGAGTCAGTTCTTCGCACTCTAACATGGCTACCCATAGGTAATGGCTCACATGACCCCATCCATGAAGGACCCCGAGACTATAATGTCCCGCAATAGGAAAAACCCCGAAACATGCCTTGGGGGGAAATCTATTCAAACTTCTAAACTTGCAGTGGAGTGAGCCCCCAATGAAAATAATGATTGGCAAAACACCCACTACCGAATAGAGGTGAGAAAAGACATAACGGAACCCGCAGTACCCAAAAGACCCGTTGTGCTAATTATACAGTTATATGGGCAAAGCCTAATTATGTCGATAGACACTGTTTGACCCTGTAGTAAAGTTACCAGTAGTCCCTCTTGTTCCTTCGCTTTAGCTCTCTATTCCTTGCTTCCTGGTGGAGATGTAAAGGTTTTATTTTGAGTTTCATGCACGGACATGTTTGTTGGTTTAGCATGAGCAATGGAGGATCATTTTTCCTCCTACGAAGCTGGAGTTCCTGGAGTACTAGTGGCAGATGCCTCGTTCGAAAAGGAGGTGGCTTTCGACTGCTTTAGCTTTTTTGCCTTTTTCTTTTTTGTCAATACCACAGCGGGCTTTCCGCCGAAGTTCCCAAGGGCGGAGATGTCGAGTTTGGTGTTGCATGTCGTGCAGATGGCGCCTTCGGGTGGGGTGCAGAAGACTGTATAAAGACCAGCCAAGCGGCGATTATGGGCATTAGCGCTCAGAAGCGTGCATAAGATAGAGCAAGTAACGTTGCCACGAGCAAGATATTCGAGGAGACGGGTTTTGAGAGGGGGCAGTTTTTTTTTCCGGAGCTTCCGGTTCCCGTGTTTGGTGAATATTGCTCGCGGGTTTCGACCAACACAAGGGATTGTCCCGTAAAGGTGCGGAACATCCAATGAAGCAAGACCACCCCGCCCGACCTCCAGGGCCACGAGACTACAAAAGCCGAAACATCCTCCGCATCCGCATTTCACTGTTTACACTCTGCCCCCTTCCTACCCAACCGGATCCTAAAAACAAGGAGAAACAGGGAGGACTTACTTGACAGGCATATCGAGCACACAAACCCAATATCCACCACATCTTTGTGACAGAAGCACGCTGCACGGAAGTCCACGTTAATCTGCGTTGGTGGGACCAGATGGCGACGAGTAGCGGTGTCCGGGATAAAGCACATCTATCAGATCAAAACGTTAGCTACCGAGTCCGTCGAGGTGTATGGGGGTGGTGACGGACCATCAAGTACTGCAGAAGACTCTCGGGATGTTCCAGCTGCATGTATATACCCCTAGTAGTATCCGACGCCTGTTGCAAAAACACGGTTTCGCCAGCGACTTTACATATATCAATTGGTATTTTCTTGCCCCCGTTAGCTATCCATCCATCCCACGGGCCACAAACAAACCTTCCTCTGCGCCGCGAATATCGAGTTCATAACAGGAACATACTGCTCCGCCAGGTCCCCGGAAACACTGACCACCAAGATTCTAGCATTCATGCTAGTAACCTCCCCGGCAGCTCCCGCCACCGCTGCCGTTGTCCCCACCTTCCCACCAACACCAGCACCACCCTTACCACCCAAGACGCCACCATCATCAACCCTAACCAAACGATTAACATACCCCAACGCGAGCCCCAGCGCACCAGCCATCATAGTCTCCTTCGCATCCACCAATTCGCCAGCCGTCGTCTGGTTCATGAGCTCAGCGAACGAAGCCTGGACTTGATCCTCGATTATGCGGAACTGGCGATACTTGTTTGCGTCGCGGAGTGGGTCTTCACTATTACTACTATTCCCACCACCGCTACCGCCGCTAGCAGCAGCGGCAGCAGCAGTGGTAGTGGTGGGGTAGAGGAAACGAGCAGACTTCGTATGCGATGCGATCACCGCCACACGATTCGCGTGCGAGAAGGCCATGTGCGCGTTTAGGAAGATCAGGATGGAGGCTAGAGCGCGCTCTAATGGGAGCGTTGCGGAGAGGGTGGACCAGGCGTATGGGTTTGTGTCCAGGATTAGGACTAATAGGGAGGGTTTTTCTGGGAACCGTTAGGGTGGTTTGGTTTGGTTTGGTGGAAGGGGGGGGGGGGGGGAAGCTGTTCATACCATCGATGGTTTGGGAGTAGTGGGCTGAGGCGTCTACTGTGTCCATTTTGGAAACGTGTATTATTATTATTTTCGTCTACCGGTATATGGTTTGTTTGTGGGGGTGCTGAGTGGTGTGGGTTTGTGTGTGTGGGGGGGGGGAGGGTGCATGGGTAAGGTGAAGAGGTGAGGTTGAGATAGAGTACGAGTAAATCGGACCGGAAACCCCCGTGCATGGATCCGGTCGGAAAGGCTTGGCGGCGGGTTTTGGGTGGTGGGGGTCCCGGGTTCACGGTGGGGTGCCAGGCCTGACGAGTGATTGGTTGTGGAGGGAGTATGATATGACACCGTACCGTAGAGGGATGATAGATTGTCGACAGTGTTTTGATAATGCGGGCGTATCCTGGCTTGGATATTTTCTTAATATCATACCGAAGCCCGAGAACGTGCTATCAGTGAATAGGGAGCCCGGGACATTGGAATTGCAGCCTTACGACCCTTTGGGCTAACAGGTCCCACAACCATCCCCCATCAGCGAACAAGGAGGAAAGAGAAAAATAATAACGGTAATAATGGTAATAATTATGTAAGATAACCGAGGACCACAACCCGAGGGATATCTATATAACCAACTCAGCATCCGGGATCCATCCCTCCCTCCCTCCATCATTCCAGCGCACTACCGCCCGGAACGTTACGAAGTAAAGTACACACACTTCCCCTCCTCCCCAACTCCATTCCGGTAGCCCCCCTTCCCACATCACTTGGTCCCCCACCCCCGCCTAAACACCCCAAGCATCTCCTCCGCAAGCTGGCCTCCAACCCTCCCATCCAGCCACCCCCGTAAATCCACCCAAAAAGCCTCGTCCACAACGATTCCCTCCCCCCCCCCTCCCTTCTCCTCCTTCTCCTCCTCCCCCTCCTTCTCCTTCTCCTCGTCCCCCTCCTTTTCCTTCTCCCCCCCGCCACCCATAACCATGACGCTGATCACAACCTCCCCTTCCCCCGCCTTAACACCGACCCCCTCTAGTGTCTTTAGGTCGCTGAGCACCCTCCCCTTCAGCAGTAGCTTGATCTTCTCAATTGGTATCTTACTGGCCGTGGATAACTGGTGCTTTAGCGTGATTATGCTCGTGGATAGAGGCGTTGCGGGGAGGGGGTGGGTTATTGAGGCGCCGCGGAGGGAGCGGAGAGTTATGTTTGCTTTGACGGTTAGTAAGGGTGTGATGGCTGAATGGAAGTAATGGGGGTGAGGGTGGGTACCGGTTGGGATGGAAGAGGTGGCGGAGGAGGCGAGGGATGCCTTTTTGGACTTTGGCTTTGCAGTTCTGGGGAGGGTGTACTGGGTTCCGGTTGGTTAGTTTTGGATGGATGGATGAACGGATGCATAGATGGGAGGTGGGGGGGGGGGGGTGTACGGGAGTGCGAGCCGGGAGCTTGCGTGCGTCCTCGCAAAAGTCGGCATTGGTGCGGATCGGACGAGAGCTCAAGGTTGAGAGGAATTGCTTGGTGAAACTGAGCTCCGTCATTTTGCTTGGAGCTGAATATATGGGATGAGCTTGGTTCAGGATGAGGTAACTTTGGGGTCAAGTGGGGTTGAAGGTGGGACGAGAGAAGGTTCGGAGTTACCCTCCCTATAATAAGAGCTATGATGGGTTGGATTTTCACGTGACTGATGAGAGCAATGAGGACCACGAGATTCAGAATTCAGAGGGTGAGAACCCTGCGGATTATATATATCCCTCGGCTGCTATGTATGATAAAGCATGTTAAGACCCCATGACACCTATTTCCCCATACTCTACATAAATATACATCATAAGCACCAAATTACACGTTCCCTTCTCTACAGGTGAAAACAGAAAAATTACAAAGGATAAGTTCCGTTTGCTCAACCCCAGCCCAGTATCTCAGGCGATTACAAGGAATGGGGAGAAGGGCGTTTGGAAAATGGAGAAGAAAAGAGGAGAGATCGCCCTCCGACCAGGGTTCAGAGAAAGGAGATGCAACCTTAACCTTTACATGATTATGGCGGGCACTACAGGCTTAAAATTAGCAAGAGTCCACATATTATCGAGAGGGAGGACGTGCCGTCGATGTTAACCTTGATGGTCTTGTGTGGTAACACACAGCCTCCGTTAACATAAACTTCATCGGAAATAGTCACGTCGTCTCCCAAGACAGTGACGTTCTCTAGCCTTGCCCACTTTCCGACTGTGCTATCCCAGCCGACGATAGTGCTCTTAACCCACGCATGGTCCTTGATTTTTGACCCTTGGAGGAGAACAGATCTCTGAACCCTAACACCATCGCCAATGACGACATTCGGCCCAATGGTAACGTTGGGACCAATGCGGCAGTTCTTACCAATTGTTGCGGTGGGGTCGATCAAGACATTTCCGCCATACACAAAGGGTTCGGTAGAAGGGGTTAGCAATTTTGAATTCTTCTTGGCCAGTGATGACAAGTAAAGGCAGGTTCCGGTCAGGAAATCCTTTGGCTGCCCGACATCCATCCAGAAACCTTCCAGATCGAACGAATGTAGCTCTCCATCCTTGACAATGGCAGGGAAAATTTCCTGCTCAATCGATGTGGGACGGAGCTCGATCCTGCTCAAGACCGAGGGGTTCAAAATGTAGATACCGGCATTGATCCTATTCCCAACAAACTCAACGGGCTTCTCTACGAAGCGGTCGATGCGTGAGTCGTGGCCCGGCTTATGAACGACGACACCATATTTCGAGGGCTCTTCCACCTTGGTGACGACGATGGTTCCCTCCTGTCCATGCGACTTGTGGAATGCAGCAAGGTCTTTGAACGGGTAGTCGCAGATGACGTCCGAGTTGAGAACGAAGAACGGCTCCTGGTTCTTACCCAGGGTTTCCTCCGCAAGTTTAAGTGGGCCGGCAGTCCCCAAGGGCTCGGACTCGACGGAAAAGGTGATGTTGACACCGTATTGCTCTTGGTACTATTGCAGGCGAAGAAGCTTAGCTATTGCCCCAGTCTTCGAGGAGAGGTCGTCTCACCTTATTGAGAACACTGATCATAACATCGGGTCTGTAGTTCACAGCAAGAACAATATCGGTAACACCAGCAGCGGCCAAAGACTCAACTTGATGAAGAATCATGGGCTTGTTGCCGAATTCCACGAGAGGTTTGGGAAGGGTCAATGTCTGGATGAAGGATGGTAGCCACGGTCAGCGGGAAATCCCCTCGGACATCATTTCTCCATCTTAATCCACTCAGCTAGCCGGCGGAGAGGATATTCATACAAGAGGTCTTAGACGGGTACCGAAACCACCAACGAGAATAAGGGCTAGAAGACAAGGTGTCAATAATTCCGTTGCCAAGTTGGGATGGATGATTAAAGCAACAATGTACCTTTCATCCTGAAGTGTAAATAGAGAAGAGTTTTCCGATAGAAATACTGCAGGCGTCTACCGTGAACGTCGGAAGGTTAAACGAGCGAGGAGGATGAGTCGATTAAAGAGGAGGTGGATGAAGGGTGGCTTAATGAATGTTGGCTCGAAGAAAGGGGAAGGCCAGCTGGGGGGGGAGCTGGAAGGTTAAAAAGGAGAAGAGATCAGCCCTCGAGAGCGTGCGTGACAGGGAATAGAAAAAGGAACGGACAGCGGCAGCGGTCGAAACAATTGGGACGATGCACGAAATCTCAATCCACCCAATTCCGCAGCCAATGGTGTGGCCACCAGAAGGGGGGCGAGGCGGCACCCTAATTTAGGGGCTCTGTGGGGGTCCGCTGCGAAGAGCCGGGATGGAAAAGAGAGAGTGGGGATCCCTTTTCCAACTTTCTTCTGGAAGTATCATATTATCATACGGTATCATGAGATTATCATCCTACCCTACCGGTAAAGGCAAAGTCTCGCCTCCATACCCACCACATACCCTATTGGGCCCTGCAGCTGTTGAAATCGCCCGCCTCTCTTCTACCAGGTACGGTACTTGTACTCGAGTACCGTATGGGAGCTCAACGGCTCACCTCGAGGTAGATCCCGCTTCATGGCCCACAATTGAGTTCTTATTGGTGAAAGTGTTTTTTCCTTTTTCCCTTTTTCCTTTTTTGCTTTTCGTGGTCCTTGAACCATCTTGTGACCTTCCCCCGCCTGTACTCGAGTACAGCTACTGCATTCGTACTGGTACCGGTACGGTAGTAGATTAGGAGATTCCGGGAGCGCCAGCTCCATCCACTTGTCTTTCCCCTTTATCCCACGGCGCTACAAGCTACCGCTGGGTGTTACCAATACCGTACCGTATCGTGACTACAGTACTGGTACTAGTACTGTAAGTGGCATGGCTCGCGCCTACTTTCTAGCCCGAGAACAATGCGAGTACCGTATCGGTAATTTGCTGATGGGAGTTGGAGCATTGAATTTGAAGCATCCGTGAATTCCTTACTCGATGGAGAGTTGTACTCGTACCTGGTACCGGTACGGCACCGTATCAGATCCCCTCCCGTCATTACCTGCAATTATTATCTGTTACAGTACCATGCGTAATCTCTCTACCCGCTATCGTACTACTGTGCCGGGAATGTCACTCGTCTCGGGGAAGAAAGTACCGGTATGATACCCGAAAACAGGGTACGGTATGGTTTGCATTGGCACTCATGTCTGCACAGATTTCTCACTGCATTAATCCCTGTCTCGGATGCGGGTACATGTACCGGTACTCGAGTACTTCTTGACACGTACTCGAGTACTTGTAGTAGCGATCTCGGTACCGGCCGTGTGTACGGGCCCCGGTTGTTCCACCTGACGCTGTTGGGAAATGATGGAACAGTCACGCATTGTCACGCAATTCCTGCAGCCATAGGCGTCACCTGGATGAAGTGCTTGGCCCGAGCTTAGCTTGTACTAGTACTAAATACCGGTACTTGTAGCTGGAGAAACTATCATGACTCTCGGGCGGTAGAAAAATCCAGTGGCTTGCCATGGGATGATGTCTTTTTCACGCTATCCGTTCAATTTTCCCCTTTGGAGGTTTATTACCTCAACAAGGTTGCTCTTTTCCCCAAAGGACGAGTGACGGAACGTGAAGGTTGGCCTAATACCGGTACTTGAGAGCTGGGTACTCTAATAGGGCCCAGTGCCGGCGGGTGTCCACGACCGTGGATTGTTATTGTGCCTGGGGGTCGAGTTGTCATAACAGGGCCTACGGCATCACTGGACAACGCTATGCCGTGAGGGTCATCATTATCCTGGGTCCGTGTCGGCGCGCGGCGGTTGGTAACATTCAACAATGAGTACAGTAACAGAGAGTTGGGTTTATGCATCGAGATGGGGATCCCGGAGAACCCCATTCACGATACTCGAGTATAAATTGTGTGGGTTGACAAAGGGCGGACTGGTTTGGTACTGTAGATCCTACTACTCCTTGGACAATGAACTTATGCGGCCCGGGGGGTCGTTCTCCGCCCAAGCTCCTTCCCCAGCCACGCGTAACCAATGGGGTTAAGGGTACCAGTGTCACCGTTAACCGTAAGGCTGCTCCCGCACGAGGCTCGGTATTCGGGGAGTTTTTTTTTTTTCGAAAAAATAATAATAACCGGATCCATTTGGCCTGAATATTCTCTTGGGAGGTGATACGAGGTGTCTTGTGATCGGGTTTATCAATAAGTACGGGAGGAGAACGGAGAGACGGGAGGGGGACGATGACGGCATGTGCTGTGTGTGGGGGAGGCTGACAAACGGGGAGAGTGATGCAGGTACAGTGGAGCACGGGGCGTGGGATGTCCCCCTTGCGCTGGTTTCGTTCCACGGTTTCGGGTCCGGCATGAGGCTCTGCAGCAGCTTTGCTGCATGAGAGCCTCTCTGGAGGAGCAAGAGGTCGGGAGCGCAGTGCCGGGGATTGCGGGTCTGTAAATATTAGGCTTGGAGAGATGCCATATCGTACCGGTACATCTGCCGGTGCTTGGGTCCGGTGCCGGATCATCGTCTGGAATGGCAGAGTTATGGTAGTGGCCTTTTTTAGGGTATATACCGGTATGATACCCCGCATCGGAATGTTTCCACAGACCCCTCCCCACTACGGCGCCTTATCCTCATCATTCGCCAATTTTGTCACGCATCAGAGTTACGCCGGGCAATCTCATACGATAGAAAATCCCCGGGCGATTCGTCTTTGGCCTGGATCGGTGCGACGTCTGGGATCTTATCGTAGTACTCGAGTACCGGTAGTCTAACGGTCAAAGTTCTGATGCTAGCTGCCAGGTTCTAGCATCTCTCCCCATGAAAGCACGCCACTGTTGTTATCGCTCCGTGCTACACAAGTTACCGGTAAACCACGGGGCTACGGGGTCTGGGCTGACACGCCCGGGACGCCCCACCAAAATCAACCCATTCGCCCCTCCCCCCACACTCTTAGCGAGTGAGCCCCAATAACTAAAGCCCCTTCCCCTTCCCCCCTTCACCGTGCCCTCCCGGCCCCTCCGCATACCCCGTCCCCCATCTTTACTTCCTTACCCACCTCCGCAAAGCCTATCTGCTGTCAAGAATTCATCAATGCTATCGACTCTATTCCAGCTATCCGCCAAGTATCATGTCTGAGCCTGGTTCTTCACTTCCTCCTCGACCTCCGAGCCCTGTGCGGCCCTCGTCCTACCTCCGCCCCCAGAAGCCACGGCCCCCACCAGAGCCTGTGGATATCGTTGATAGGGAACAAGCCGAGGGACTGGTCCGTATCGCTTTCTATTTGGACTTTGTGAATCATTGGACACTGACTGAGGTGGGTCGTCGCAGCGCGCTATTCGAGAGTTCTTGAAGGTCCGGACTACCTATGACGTATTGCCCGTTAGTTTCCGTCTCGTGATACTGGATACAAGCCTTCTGGTACAGAAGAGTCTCAATATCCTCATCCATAACGGTAGGAACGAATGAATCTTTATCACGCTTCCTGGGATTCGTGGGATGCTGGTGTATCAGGCTAAATTTGGTATTCCGTAGGAATTGTCTCCGCCCCGCTGTGGAACTCTCAGACGTCGACTTTCGCTGGGTTGCTCACATCCTCTGACTATATCAATGTGATCCAGTACTACTGGCAGTATCCCGAGAAGTTTGAGGAAATTGAGGGATTTCGTCTGGATAGTTTGCGAGGTTTGTCCTTATCATGTGGTCCCACCGGGATAACCAGTGTTGACGTGGCGAACCATTTGGACAGAGGTTGAAAGGGCTATCGGCGTCACACCTATAGAAACCGTTTCCGTGCATCCCATGATACGGTTGTATGATGCTTGCCGTCAAATGCTTAGGAGCCGCGCTCGTCGCATCCCTCTTATTGATGTGGATGAGGAGACTCAACAGGAGATGGTAGTTAGTGTTTTGACCCAGTTTCGAATTCTGAAATTTGTTGCCGTCAATGTACGCGAAACACAGATGCTGCGGAAGCCGCTATCCGATCTGAGCATGGGAACATACGAGGATATTTCTACCGCAACCATGCAAACACCGGTCATCAGTGTCATTCATCAGTTGGTAGGGAAAGACATCTCTAGTGTGCCTATTGTTGACTCAAACGGTACGTTCATCTTGCCTTGTTACTCGGTCGCTGATGGTTCGCTGATTTGCTCATATTGGTAAATATTTGCAGGGGTTTTGCTTAACATTTACGAGTCTGTCGATGTCCTAACCCTTATCAAGGGGGGGAGCTACGATGACCTCAATCTTAGTGTGGGGGAGGCGCTTCTGAAGAGACCTGATGTAAGCGGGGTCCCACATTTTTTTAGCATTTCGATAATTACTGATCCTCATTATTTTATTGGGTCCCGTAGGATTTCTCTGGAATTCATACATGCTCCCCTCAGGATCGCTTGGACACAATATTCGATACTATCAGAAGGTCAAGGGTCCATCGATTCATGATTGTTGATTCGAGCGGCCGTCTCAAGGGCGTGCTCACATTAAGTGATATCTTACAGTACTTCCTGCTTGACGGGGAGGAGGAGTAGCGCGATGGGGTATCGGATATTTTCTTGGCCGCGTGGCCAAATTCATAGATGTTTTCCTAGACCGGGAATTGCGCCCACAGTCCCCGCCCATACCTACACTATCTCTACCAACCGCTGGAAAGCGAGCCTATCCTTTTGATTCTTCGCTGGTCCTCCCCCGGTTCCTGCATGGATTTCTTTACTTTTCTTTCCTCTCTAGGCGGAGGCGTTCAGGATATCGAGGATAAGCATGGATTTCCTTTCCCCTAGTTACTATCTCCATCTACTTTACCCATCTGCTGTTAAATATTACCTACTATTTCGGTTCATGATGTTCCATCTATGAGCCACATCAGCCACCCAACGCGCCTAAGGAGCACTTGTATCTGGGCGTGGTGAACTAGGTTGGCGAATGGGAGATGGGGATGTTGAGCAGGCACTTGATGTTAAAGTATCGTCCGGTGTGTCAGGCTCTGGATTGTGGATGTTTGTAGGATCTTTCTGTTGTAGTTGAGTTGAATTGGATCCTAATGCTTTGATTTGATTATTCAGGCGGAGATGTGCTCTTTAGCGATTGTATTGTAAATTTCATCCACGCCTTTCCTTCTACAGGATTGACCGGCAGTGCCTTACATAGAATCCAGCGACGGGATCTCATGGCTTTGTCACTTTCTCCAAAACACCTCCTACAAGGTTGCGAGTAGTATCTCTCCACATAATTCAAGTCGCAATCTTGCCTCAAATCCCTCACCATCACCGGAACCTTTTATTGCCTACGCGTACTCAGGGACCCTGAATACTTGAGGATCCCACACATACCCTCACCCTATATCTGGCGAATCCCCAGACCGAAAGTCGAACACAACCCCCCCGCCAACCTCAACAGGTCTCTAACCCAAGAACGGGCGTCGTTGCGGCCGTAATGGACTACACTCCGCCAACCTCACCTTCGATCCGCCACAGAAGGCTCTTGGCAAGACTCCGTCTCAGATATCCACTACTATCACAGACGGTTGGTCATCCTAGACTTCCCGAGCCCGAAATTCCACATGATCCACTTGCGGTTCTGAACCATAACTTCTTTCCTCGCCCGACAAGAAGCCTCATCTCAAAGCAGTGCCTCAAGGTCGTGTTCCGGCTTGAAAGGCCTTTGATATATGAGACCACTCTGGGCAGTACGGAAAAAGCGGTGTGTCTTTCCAAGGATATTCTACTGAGAGTTGGGACAAAGGTGTTTCCAATGTTTGCTGGTGCAAAGTGGAGAGCTGGGGTAAGTGCTTCCTTGTTTTCTTTTTTCTCCCAAGCAGTCACTGGACGACGGAGAGTACGGACAGTTCGGGTACCCGCTTTTGAGGGACTTCGATCTCGCTGGTGAGCACCTGAGGGAGCTGGTAGCGGAGGTTGTGGATGTCTTAGAGGGGGGGTATGGGATGGATCTTGAAGGGTCTAGGGCTGTTTTCGGTGAGCTTGGGGAGGTGAGCTCCATAGGTTTTTGGAGTGAGGGGGGTAAATATCTGCTTATGGCTGGAGCTAGGTTGATCTGGATAAGTTTAAGCTTGACGACTTGGTTCTTCGGCACTTTGCAAGGACAAAGGAGGCATTTGTTATACGGTTCATTAGGAGAGGGGAGGCAAAAGAAGCTATCAAAGGGTAGTAGGGCGGGAAGGTAGGGTGCTTAGGGTGACTTCCCAGCGGGGAATGATAAACCTGTGCTGTTATTTGGTATCATAACAGATGCACGGATTTGTCTTGCTACGTAAATTATCACACCGGTAGTAAAGCGAGTGACACTATGTGATTTGGTGGCCTGGTGAGTTTCGCTTATCATTCGATGCCAAAGCTTACGTAATTTTTGGGTTTACAATTCGCTCACGAGACCCCGAATTGCGATCTTCCTACCACGCCCTGAGCCCAAGTTACCATAAGTTGAAGTAACCAGTTTCGCCCTTTGTCTCTGAAGCTTAGGGTCATTTCCTTCCCTCTCTCCGCTACCTTAACCGTCGACATCTTACTCCCACTGGTGTTTACCAGCACTTGCCCCCGCCCTCCCGCTCCCGCTCCCTGTCCCTCCACCTCGTTCACTCATCTCACTTCTCTCGGCATTCTCTCGTTTATCCTGTCCTTTCCTATATCCCGCGGCTCATCACCACCCATAGCCTCCTCCACGACAAATTTCTCGCCTTTTGAAAGCTACCGCAATCATGGACGCGAAGGAAGTCAAGACACATGTCACTAACATTGAGAAAGCCGTTAAAGAGAAGCTTCCCCCGGCGGTTTTAATTGACATTCTGAATTCGCTGAAGACTGGCGTCACCGCTACTGAGCAGCTATTGAGAGTTCGTCATCCCTCCTCCCACCCCTCAATAGAGTACCTTCTCAATTCGTCCCAATATCCCTCCACTGCTCTGCGAAAGCTATAGCCTCATTCCTGGATCTTTGGGAAACTAATATGCGCTATCGCAATAATAGGACACGAAGGTCGGTATGGCTGTCAACAAGCTGCGTATGAACGGTGATAGGTCTGTCTCGGACCTTGCCAAAGAAATCGTCGCAAAGTGGAAGAAGGATGTTCATACCAAGACCAAGCCCTCCGGATCGTCCTCCCACGACGGCAAGAAGGAGCGTATGGTGACCGTATCCCCATCCAGAACCCCCCCGAAGCCTTCCGGAAAACGCCCGGCCGATCTTGCCACTAGATCTAGAAAGACCGACAATGTTAATTGGCAGTGCACCGGCGAAGCTACCCGTGATAACTGTCTTGGCATCATTTATGACGCGTTGGCACTTGGTTGTGATGCTTGTACGAAACATGGCTCCTGAGTTGCTCCTGAGTTTGTGGATTTGTTGCGAACTGACGACTGTGAATAGCTTCGGAAGCTCTCCTATCGCTGGCAAAGTCCATCGAGTCCATCACTTTCACAAACTACAAGAAGACCGACGCAGCCTACAAGCGCCGCATGCAGGTCCTCTTCCTCAACCTCAAGAGTAAGGACAATAACCTCCGCAACCGTGTCGTCTCGGGCGAGATCACTCCCACACGTCTCTCCACCATGGAGAGTAGTGAGATGGCGTCCGCACAGAGGAGACAGGCCGACGAGAAGCTCATGGAGGAGAACATGAGGACCGCCATGATGGCCAAATCCGAGAAGTCTATCAGCGACCAGCTCACCTGTGGAAAGTGCGGCCAGAAGAAGGTTTCGTACACCCAGGCGCAGACCAGGTCTGCCGATGAACCTATGACCACCGTATGCTTCTTTCTCCACTTCCTCTTTCCTCATAGATATTCTTGTTGGATTTGGGCGGGCTAATGATGGGGGGACATGATGTAGTTCTGCACCTGCGAAATCTGCTCTCACCGCTGGAAATTCTCGTAGATTTTTCTTTTCTTTATCGCTATTCCTTTTTTTTATAAATAATTTTTATCCTCTTGCGTACCCTATGCGTCCTTTCTTCTCCCCTTATCCTCCCCCGTCCGCTCAATTCAATCCATCAATCAATCAGGGGGGGGGTTAATAGTAACGAATAGTCAGGTCGGGTACGTTAATAAATAAATTATGCAAAAAGTTACACTTTTTCTTTCTTTCCTTTCTTTTCCCCTCACTTACCTCTTATGATACTAGCTTTCTATTATATTACGTCTCGTGTACAGTTAGTTTTTTTTTTTTTTTTTTTTTTTTTTTTACTTTCTATCAGTTTTCCCTATCCCGTTTTTTTTTTCTTCCTCTCTTTTTTCTGCCCCTTCTTTTTTCATTTTTTATACTAGTTTCACGGCGCTGTGCTGTGTGTGGTGCGGTGTGGTACTTTTCACCTAGATGGTGTGAGATCTTGCTTTACCCTAACCGGTCTTATGATAAACGGAGTTTTTTATTTTTATTTTTTACTATTATCATATTATTCTTGCATTTCACTCTGCTCTTCTTTCTCTCTTCTCTTTCGTTAGGGTATGTGTGATTTTGTTTTCCACTTCCTCTCCTCCTTTCCTTCGATTTTCTAATTCTTGCCCGCCCAATTTGCTATCGCTTACCTTGCCTATCCGGCCTATTTTGTGCCGGCGGCGGTGGCGGGAACGGGGAGACTAGTACGGTACCGGCATTTGGGAGGTTGAGCTACATTAATTTTCGTAAAGTTATCATATTATCATTGATATAGGGTAGTAGTGTGGCTTTTACGGAATTGCTGGGTGCGTATGGTACGGTATAGTGGGGCAGTCTACGGTACTTGAACTACAATTGAAGTGTTTGAGTGGGACGGTGTGGAAATAGGGTATCATTAGTATGATATATACAAATACTTTTTCTCGTTTCACTTTAGTTGATTGCGCCGCGGTATTGGGTTTCGAATTGAATTGGAAGAGGGGGAGGAGCACAATCTAGCTATTTGGTCATCTTGTAATTTCTATGCTGCATTTTTTTTCCATTGTTCGCCCGGCTAGACATGAAGGCCATCCAAGTTGATCAGAAGTAGCGAGAGAATAGCCACCCGGCCCCATTCTCAACTCCCGACGCCAAACTTTACGCTCTCGCACTCGAGTGTGTCAAGGTCCAGTAGTACCGCCTCTTTGGTTTCCGAGAACTTTGGTATCAGGATTATTCTGCAGAGTTGCTTTTGAGGACCTGCTCTCCTAATTAGTAAACTCCACCAAGGTAAAGAAATGTATGGGAGGAGAAAGGTCACCTTCAACCAACCGACTTTCAAACCTCTCTTGATTACCTATGAAAAATACGTGTGGACACTCTTTTATGACGTACATGTCTTTGCCTTCAAATGGGAAGGACCCTGCTAATCATTAATCTCCGGGTGTGGCGAAATTGTAGAACATGGGGAACAAACAAAGAGTATCTGGCGCCGTCGGCGCCACGCACCTCCACCTTAGCAAGCGCTCACACATCCCCAGTCGGTCCTCTCCTTCAACATACTTGTACACGTCGTCCAGGTTCTGCCCTGCGGTTCCCAGGAACTTGAGCCCGTCGATATCGATGCAACAGGGGTTTGTAGTTGTGTGCAAGGAGGAGGCAGTGTAATGTTTTGCATTGCGGAATATGGCAGGGTGGAGGGGCTGCTGCGGGAGTGAGACGTTTGCCGGGTCGGTGGGGCCGGGCAGAATTGTTACGGGGAGGGAGGGAAGGAGGGTAGCTAGGAGGCTATCGAGGGCGAGAGCGGGGTTTGCGTTGTAGGCCGTTGAGTCGTAGCCGTATTTTTTGTGCTATGGTCGGGTTAGTCCGGTGAAGTAGAGGGGGAGGGGAAGGGAAAACCTTTTCTTCACCTTTGACGGGTGGGAGAGTGACTGCTGGGGCTAAGGAGTTGCCGGCGATAATGAGTCGGGTGATTTTTGATGCGGATTCTTGGTCCTATCATAAAACTTAGCATTCTCTCCTCCTGTAGAGTAGATATTATAGGACTAACATCCACCCCACCCACTTCACCAAGCAAGTACTCTGCCAACAATTCCGTCTCGAAATTTTCCATAGCATTCCCTTTAAAACTCAATCCACTGACCAATGCAACCTTCCTCTTACCACCCCTCTGCTTCTCCCCTTCACCAATATCCAACTTGTTTTCCTGCGGCGGTAACTCGGGCACGATCACATCCACAACGTCAAAATCCCCATCCTTGGTCTCGGTTCCCATAACCCCTACCACTACCCCGGTAACCAGGCACTCCTTCTCAAGCGCCTTCCCCACAAGTCTCAACCGCCCAGACTCGTCCTCAAGCATGATCTGATCCGCCCCGGGCGTCACGTACTTATCCCGAGGGGGCGGCGCCGCGATCCACTGGTCCTTCGTAATGTCCTCGAGAATGTTGGGTTTTAGCGGCATGTCCATATAGATTGTGCCGATGATCCAGCAGAGTTCGCCCTGTCGGACTTCAAGGACACGGTCGGCCCTCTGGACGATGTCACCGCCAATCTATCCATTGTTCTGTTGTTAGGCATAGCTATAGGTATAAGGTATAAGGGAAGAAAAAAGACTGGGTGGTCTTACTTCAGTACCCTCCCAAGTTTCCAATGCGACGGCCTCCACCGATGGCTTTAAATCTACCAATCGTAAAAAATACATCGTTGCGAATTGCCGCTGGTAGGTTCGGCCTTCCACAGTAAATTTTTCGAGTTCAGTTTGTGCGGATTGGACTCGTTCGTGGATCGGGTACGTTTGTTCCACGCTAAGAATTTGAATTATTATTCTCTCCCGTCCTTGCTTTGAAGTGTGGGAGGGGGGGAGCTTACTCGGAGAGGAGATCCATTGGGGAAGATTTCTTTGAAGATGACCCCATTTTTGCTCCCTTGCCTATCGGTGGAATGGGGAATGGATTTGGTGAGGGCCGGCACGGTTGTGGTGGTGGTGGGAATTGGTAGTGGAAGGCCCCGGAGGTTGAAGTGGGAAGGTAAATTGATCTCTCGTGGTAGACGCGTTGCGCATTTAATTATGGCTTGGCTGAAGTGTGCCAAGGTGAAATGACTATGGTCACGGGAAATTATTCGGGTTCCGACCTGCGCGGGTATGGATGTGGGATACCGGACAGCCAGGGATTCCAGAGGCTTGACCGTTCTTGCCCTCATAGGAAATAAATGAATGAGTCTGGCATGGGAATTGCTCGAACAAGCAAGAAACCTTGATACCTTTAATCCCTGACTGTCCGGTCCCCCACGTCCATATTTGAGTAACTTGTGGATAATGGATGGGGGACGGTGAAAGCCTCCTAGGAGCTCAGGAATTGGACCTAATGTACATATTTAGTCTGGACCCCAACATCACTCTAAGGTATGATACATGATTGAGGGGCGAATTGGCATGCTGTCGTACGTAGCACATAGCACCTTTTTGCTCGGTACAGATACCCCAATCTCTTGGGAAACACCCTCGAAAAGCAGCAAGAGCTCAATGTGGACCCGACGCTATCTAGTTATTTATGCACACAAAAAACTGTGTCATATCCTGATATAATACATAGCCTCCAATTCTAAACCGAGCTCAGAACACTGGCGTTCTTATACCAGTTTAGCATCGGATTATCCCCATTAATAGTCTCCGTCTCCTCCAAATACGCCCAACTCCTTAAAAAGTCCTCCTGCTTCATTACCCGTGTAAGCTTTCCCGTCATAGCCTTATACATATCATCCATGACTTCGAAATCTGTAGGGAACAGTATATCAAATAATCCTTGCTGCACCTGTATATGTCACATCTTCATTAGTCCCATCTCCATGGATACCTGCAGGACGATATGTAAGGCACGTACAAATGGGGTAGTAACGGGAATACTGGTTCGGTTGTACCTGGTTTGCACAACCGGCGCATTAATCCCTTTGATAGCATCCGGAAGCGCATGAAAGTCACTGACGACCAATCGGTGCGCGGGAAACTGTTCTCGAAGGATGTCAAAGAATCCGAGCATCTTAGTGGGGATGTACTCCGGTGTTGTTAGGTTTTCTGGGAACGGTGTGAGTTGGTCTCTCAATCTTCGGAGGAGCTTTGGTCCTTTTAATGGATGACTGTAGCCCGGTCTTGCCACCTTTTGTCGAATTCTTAGGTACCGCTCGGCGGTGGGGTCTAGTTTTGGCGTGTAAAACTCGATAAATTCACCCGCAGCGTCGATCAAGACGATTCCCTGCAATGGCTGCTCTGTTTGGGGGTCATAGCGGACGATGTCATGAGCAAAGTTGTCGAACACCTCTAGGGCTAAGAAGAAGCATGGATCTGAAACATATGTGTTCCAGTCAAATATGCTCTTGTTGACAATCTCGATCTTTTCCGAGTGGCCCCCAGCAGCAGCCCTTGCCCTTTGGAGGCTTGCAAGGTTCTCGCTGATCTCGATAACCCTGTATTTTGTCCGTTGGTAGACGTCTGGCTCTCTATGGCGCACGTGGTCCAGTATGTTTGACATCATGGTACCATTCCCAGCACCCATCTCGTAAATTATGAGATCGCTATATGGGAACAGCGTGAGCTTATAATTCTCCACCAAGTACCTGGCAACTGCCTCCCCATAGTAAGGCTTGAATAGCTCCGTGGGCGTGTGCCAAAGCTGCCTCACAGGGTTCATCTCCACCTCATCCAACTTATCTTCAAAGCTAGTGTACCGTTCTCCGAGGACCCTTTGAAACTGGTTTTCGTCGCGAATCAGATTGAATGCGAACGGCTTCTCGGTAGAGAAGATGACAGCAAATTTTGAGAAGAAGCCGTAATTGGGATTGTAGAGACTATCTGTAGATCCGCTCCAACCCTTCGGTTAGAATCCTGATCCGGGATAGAAGCGGTTAGGAAAATAAGGAAATCCCCCAATTTTGGGTCCCCAAGTCCTGCGCTTTAAGAGAGAAAGAAGCCGACCATCGATAAAATCCCGAACCAACATCTTCACCCTCTTAGGCCTTTCCTTCCTCCTCGCTAACTCTCGTGCATCCACCATGGGGTACTTTTCAAACTCGCCCATCCGGTCCTTCTGGAGGAATGCCGTTCGCGGCTGCCATGTCTCGCCGGAGGTGTCGGCTGTGATCTTCGGTAATGGGAGTTTCGGCAAGAGGGAGTAATTCCGGCGGGTTAAGCTATTGATAGGACGAGCGCAAGCACGACGACGAAAGAGGGATCGGAAGAGTGATGATATCAGTGGAAAGTCCATTTGATGGTAGTTATGATTGGAACGGGGAGATGAAAGGAGGGAGGAGAACGAGGAGAGGGACAGGAATGTTTGTGTGGAGAAGCGGATGCATGGCGTTGCGGCTCTATCTGGGCGATAAAAATTAACTGCTCTTTTACCCCTCCGGCGTCGCTCGAGTTTACTATGCTGAAGTAATTAGGGAATGGAGATCTGCAGCCCCGCCTAACAGCTAAAGATTTCGCTACTGTGCCTTTAATTGTCAACCTATGGAAAAATACTCCCAAACAACAATTCTTCTGGGTGGGATAGCTATCGGCGCTGGCGCTGTTCTAGCTGCGGATTGGCTCTCCCCCGATCGACCTTCGGAAACTCCACAGGAGCGAGGGTTTCCACCTGCTAAAGACAGAGAGGACATACGAAACGGGCTGGAAGAGTGTATTGGAAATACCCCTCTAATTAGGATAAAATGTCTTTCAGAGGCTACTGGATGCGAAATATTGGGGAAAGCAGAGGTATATCCAAGATTGAACCTTATAGTTCGGGAGCTTACAGGCAGCAGTTTCTAGAACCGGGAGGCTCGGTCAAGGATAGGGTAGCAATGAAGCTCATAGAAACGGTACCCATCTCAATTCCTGAGAATCGGGAAAAGTCACTAACATATATAAAAAAGGCCGAGGTGGAAGGCCTCCTCACGCCTCATTCCGGCGATAAAGTATACGAAGGCACCGTCGGCTCGACCGGTGTCTCTCTGGCAATCCTCTGCCGAGCCCGCGGATACTTAGCACACATGTACCCTCGCCCTTCTCTCCTCCCCAAGCACCATTGTTAACTGGGAGAAGCTGCATGCCAAACGATCAATCCACCGAAAAATCCGACCTTCTAACAAAACTCGGCGCAGAAGTGGAGCGCGTGTCCCCCGCCCCAATCGTGGACCGTGCACAATTCGTAAACAAAGCCCGTGCGCGATCCGTAGAGCACACGAATTCACCTTCAATCCCAGGCCGCGGCTTCTTCGCGGACCAGTTCGAGAACGAGGCCAATTGGAAAGCGCATTATGAGGGCACTGGGCCAGAGATATTTGGTCAGTGCGGAGGGAGGTTGGATTGCTTTGTTGCAGGTGCAGGTTTGTTTGCATGGTAGGGCACTTTGCTCTCCGGATGATCTTGCTAACGGGAGAATAGGTACAGGAGGGACTATATCTGGGGTGGCGAGGTATCTCAAGCCCCGCCTTCCGAAGATGAAAATCGTGCTGGCAGACCCACAGGGTAGCGGATTGTATAACCGTGTTCGCTATGGGGTGATGTTCGACGTTAGAGAGCGAGAGGGTACCCGGAGGAGACAGCAGGTGGACACCATCATAGAAGGCATCGGGATCAACCGTGTCACAGCGAACTTTGAAGCTGGAAGGCCGCTAATTGACGATGCTATCCGCGTCGGTGACGAGGAGGCGATGGCCATGGCTAGATTCCTGGTTGAGCGGGAGGGACTGTTTGTCGGGAGCAGTAGTGCTGCTAATTGTACGTATTCCGCTAGTAGTTGGAGAACAGGGAGGGCTGACTTGAATGACAGGCGTCGCAGCGGCACGTACAGCGCTACAGATGGGGCCCGGACACAGAATCGTCACCGTACTGTGCGATTCAGGGACTAGGCATTTATCAAAATTCTGGGCGAAGGCTGGGAACGTCGGCGGGGGGTGGAAGATGACGTTGGAGGACGTGCTCTCGGCGGAGAAGACGCGGCCGTCATTGCCTGTCCCTCTGTCTAGAGCTTCATCTGGCTGGGGTCCGTGAATGCATTTGTGGCGGTATCTTGGAGGGTTTACAAGTAATGGAATACGAGAATACTCTACATCTCTTCCATACTCCCATATGATGCCAATGGAAACATCCCTGATCCGAACAACCGAGTGATACGCCATGACCGCCAATCAATCCCATCTTGAAAGCCGTTATCCACTGTATTGTATAGTGCTCTGCATGGCCCAATTGGCCCCCGCAAGGTCCCACCATGGGCAAGGGGGCCTACCCCCCCCACTCCGGTCACCACTTGCCACCCTTCCCATCACGACCTCCAACCTATGCACAGCCTCAACAGCTGAAGAAAAAGTGCCCTTCCGAAACCAAAAAAGCCAGAATTCCTTTTTCTTCTTCTTGTTTCCACCGATCAATCATGACCACGTAAGTTAGCACAGAACAATATATAGTACAGTGCCAATCCTCGAATACCGTGGTGGTGTATTGTACCGGTACTCGTAGAATAATTCGGATCCACCATTGCGGCACTGCACTTACTTACTGTAGAGTGCTTGGCGTACCCGTAATACCATTAGAAAAAGGGAGGGGGGAAAAGAGGTGGGACGGAACAGGTCAAAACGAAACAAAGGCCACTTTTACGTTATGGTGATGAGCTGCACGATTTTCCAGAATAGAATGGATGGCGATCCTGGTTCTTTCCGGCACTTTTCGAGGATTGGGTTTCTTTCGGCGATGTGATGGGCTTGATGGTTTGGTGGCTCCGTTGGTGGGCTATTAATAGCCTTGCTGGGGCTGTTGCTATGGTATGATACCTGCAACCTTCTCAGGTAGTGTATTGTACTGTCGAGGATGGCACTGTGCACAGCCCGATTGATAGTGGCCGGGATAATGAGCACTGTACGGTATCATACTAGAACTGTACTGGTGCTGTACGGAGGAGCCTCTTCTCTTTGGATTCCTCCTTGGTTGCTGTGGAAATTTGCGAGTGTGGTCGACTGCGAGAAGAGTGTATGAGTACTGTAAATTTACTGTACAGTCCTGGTTAGAGATATTGTGTAGGGATAGTGGTACTGTGACGATTCATCTGAATTATAATGAGTATCTTTGGCAAGCAAGTAAGATGGTCCAGTCAGTGCAACGGGTTTTTTTTGGGGGGGATGGAATGATATTGGGGTTTTAATTAGTCGCAATAAATAGGATGGCGGACAAGGAGCCTAAGGTGATGGTGTTGGAGAGGCTTTGCTACTCCTCAACATGGTGCGGCGAATATGATACTAATAGACAAAGCGCAGCTGTGGTGCTCCCGATTGTTTGGGCCTTTACCACATGTTTTTCTCATCGTCGTTCCAAGGTAGGGCAGTAGTAGTTCCACTCCGTTTACTTTGTGATACTGTTAGCTGGCCTGGCGCTTGGCAGATACAAAAGGATTAGCACGGTTTGGCATAAATTTGTAAGTACAGTACTTTTATATTCCCTTGGTAGGAAATACACACCTTACCGCCCCAAGCCAGCACTCAATAAGACATCGGAGTCTACTGGATTGAAGAAGGATTAGTCCTGAGCAGTTCTATGGAATTTGTTTCTCAAAAAGCCTTGTTTAATGAGATCTAGGATTCACACAGGTGCAGTCTTTACCCCACGAGGACAACATTAATCCTTTGTAGGGGTTTTTGTCACTGAATACGGTGATTAGAAATTTGGTAGGAGGGATAGCGGATAACTACATTTTACCATACTACCGGTAGAAGTATAATACCAGCAAATGCTCCCTGTATTGTATGAAGACATCTCCCTAGGTACTTTGTGGTGTGTTTTTTTATTTTTATTTTTTTACTGCTGATGCTGACTAGAAGACCTGGGGCTGGCTTGGGCTCTTGATGTGTACACATAATCCATTCCGAAAGGCATTAAATTTTAGCCGTTACACCATGATTGCTGGGGGGCACCACTCCCTACCCATGGGATCATCATGCAGGTTTATTTATAGTGCTGTGGCGTTTGTAAAACAGACCGGTATTGCATACGACCAGAAATTTCCTGGAGCATCATGATTTTGGTGGTGTGCAATAGCAGTCCGCTTTGGGAACGCCACGACGTTACGAGCACTCTAGTATTCGGGGATGGAATGTATATCCATTGGGTTCACCAATGTCTATTCGTGTAGTGCCTCGGACGGAGATCGGAAAGTGGTTGCTTTGCTCGGACCTCCCAGTCCTTGATTGGCCCTCAGATATTATACACTCAATACTAGGTTCTGTCCTTTCCAGAACGCAACTGCTAAATCTGGATGGCCGCCCCGTCTTCTGCTACAGTACGGCCTCTAGGGACTGCTTTTCCTATAGATGATAACGCAGCTCGCACCTCCGCTTTTGCTTCTTCCTCCCCTCAGACTCGAGTTCCTAGGTGGTCAGCTCCTACAATAATAACTACTGGGACGTCAATTTAGATCCACCCTGATCCACTGCATCCCATCCCCCGAATCTCGACCCCGCAATAAAGGCTTCATCCCCATTTATAAAGCCTGCTGTGGCATTAACGATGGACTCGTCAAAATCTCAGCAGAACCAGATCTCTCTATTTTTCCCGGCCCCGTTCCCTGACTGCCAGCGGGAGGCGTCTGATGTTGGCGAACACACCATGAGCCCAGCAGTGCTCCCATAGGCGGCATCACCAATTAAGTAGTTGATGAATTTCATGTACAATCTGATGGGCACAGATCATGGCTATCATTGGAATCACTAGTAGCGTGCATAGCTGCATCGTCAGAATCCTGCATTAGTTAAGTCTGGGCAACCAAAGCATCGCAGTCGACTCCAGGGGAAAGCAAAATTGCTCCATTTGTTCGAGCGATCTCGTGGAGTTGTGTTGGGGGGGCTTGTAGGGTTGTAAGGGAGGCGCTGGTTTGGCGTAGGCCAGGGGCATCTCGGACTGGATGGAGGGATGACGAAGCCCGAGATTTGGCGTAGGAGCATTTGAAAATTTTAAGGAGTTTTCAGGAATCAGAATATATTTACGTAGGAAGCCGCGACCTTGACATGAATCTTCTTGTATGGAAAAATCACTTTTCTAGTGGGAGTATCATACACCCTTTGTTTTTGCTAGTTTTATGGAGAATCGATTGCGATTTCGGGGTTCACCTTGGGACAGCGCGGTTGGGGCGTATAATAAATACAGCATATATCCACCCAGTATGACGCTGGGTTTGCCATGGTGCCTAGAATTGCCGAGAACCGGAGCGCTGTATATAGGCTCTCACCAGGTCATTCCGCCTCCTCTCACGGCGGCGCACCACTCTACCCATCCACACACCCATCGCTCGGAGCACCCATTCGAGTCATAAACATCATTGGCCTGGGTTCCCGATGTCCTGCTCCTCCCAATGAATGCTCCACCATCCTGAAGAGTTGGGAACGTGATCGCTACCCCAAGGACACACTCGGATCGCGGATTTCGCCCAAAGCTGCCATGAAGTACATTTTATCATATAATTTTGGATATATAACAGATCAGCACAGATTACATGCTTTGCTCTGGGGAAAAAAAAGAAAGAAAAAAAACAAAGAGGAAAGAATTATGCACCTTACTCATAGTATATCACTCGGCGGGTCCATCACTGGCCTCTAGTGGTGTTTCTCTGTCTCCCCAACTCTTTTTGTTTTGTTTTCCCGGGGGGGGGGGGTGTGTCGGGGCCGTCGAGGGCGCTCGCCTGGCAGAATCGACACTTTTGTCAATTTTATCCGAAAGGAATACCGGTTCCGTACTTTACAGTACAAGTACGGTACTGTACTTGTACCATCCTGGATGATGTGATACTACGTATCACATCTTCCTCAGCCGCAACCACAACACTCCCCCTCCCCTAAGTGCTATTGGTAACTGGTACTCGAGTACCGGTGCCATCTTTATCGCAAATACACTTCATCGTGGAAGAAGGTGTCATAATACGGCCCTAGGCGAGTATCTTGGCATTTTCGTGGCGTTGATGGCCCTGCGAATGAAAATCCGGAGGAAAGGTTTCGGTACCGTAAACTTAGAACGCATCCTTTTTCCTTTTTCCTTTTCCTTTTCCTTTTCCTTTTTCTTTACTTTTTTACTCTTTTGTTCCAAGTTCCGGGTTTTGGTTGTGTGCTGGAGGGTGGAAGGTATCGTATGGTATGTTTAAGGTTGATAGAATTTTTTTTTTCTTCCCCCTTTTTGCTGGTGGTGTGATAGATATTATGGCTCTGCTAGTTGTGATAGCTAGCTTACTAGTAAATAGCTACGAGTACAGTACAAGTATCTGGGCTGTGATTTTCTTCAATCTTGGGTAGCTCGCGTAGAGTACTACACGAGCACGCTGCAAACGATACTGGTACGAGTACCAGTACTGCAATAGCAAATGTTGACTAGTTAGCCGTAACATCAATGCTCGGGCGCCGGAAGCGGGAATAACCTGCCCGTGTGAGCGAACTTTACCTTACTGCGCTTTCGGACACCCTAAGGGATAGCGTAATACGGATTCAGTATAAATACGCTACGAGTACTAAGGCACCATATCTCTCCCCCAAGAAGGATCATCAAGATCCTGCGGGGTAACTTACTGTACGTACAGTAACAAGCGGACTATCCATCATATGAATAAAAATGTATGGTACAGTATCATATAATACGATGGGGAGGGTGGATTATGATGTAATGTCGTGCATTTTAAAGGATGAGAAGAGACCTTCACGCTCTCCGGTTTTATTATAAGTCTAGGCACTGCATGTCTCTAGAGGAGGAGTATGATACTGTAAGTGCTATGCAATTAGGCTACGTAGTTCTTGCGATTTGTATGAGTACAATCCGGTTTTTGGTTTTTGACGGAGGGTTTTTTTTATCTTTCCATCCATCAAGAAAAGATTTTTCAATTTTTCAATTTTTCAATTTTTTTATTTTTCATGATACTGACCTCCCGTTTGGACACGCTCGAGTATAGTACCGTACTCGTATAGTATAATAGAGTACTAGTATTGTACCGGTACTGTGCCCGACAGTATAATAAGAACTGCTGTACTGTACAGTACAGTACTTGACACAGGGCAGGGAAGCTGAACTCCTATCAGTCTATTACCCCAATACCGACCTCAAGCAATAGCACTACTATACAATACGACCATCATACATACATACACATACATACATGCATACATACATACATACGTACATACATACTCCACTTGTAGTACTCGAGTACAGCATTGTACGATACCATCGTACGGATTGGACCATTCCGAGCAACCCAAATTACGCTCGGAAAACGGAAGATGCTCGAGAACTCTCCTATACCTGTGGGGGAAAAAGAATAGTCTTTATCGTTACACCGCATTTGAATAACCGTATCTCTCTTTTTCCCTCTGTGGTAACTTATATTTATCTTGTCCGTCCGTCCGTCCCGTCTCTGTAGGTCTGCATCGGTAGGTCGGCATGCGTGGGTTGGATCTCGCCTTGGTCTTTGGGTAATATATTATTCCTCTCGTTTTTCGTTCTCCACGGGACTTGGACTGCCTTTTTGGTTGGGTGGACCTTTCGCACTGCTGTCGTGCGAGTCACGTTCCGGGTATGAGTGACATGTATGATACTGTACTTTTATTTTATTTTATTTTATTTTTTTATATTTTATTTTTATTTTTAAAAAAGAGGGTCGCCTGATGTCATGAATTGCGAGGAGCTGGTCTGGGGGTTACAGGCCCTCGTTTGGCGGGATGATTGAAGTTTCTTTGTAATATCTGTCGATTGTGTCTTGTTCAAAGTTGATAGGGATAGTTAACCGGCAAGATAACTCCTGTCTTGTGCGAGAACTTCTCCCCGGGCAATCTGTACTCGTACTGTTATCTTAATCCCTGGGTCGTTGTATTTGGTTAGTCCGGTAATATCACGGTCGGAATGATTAGTCGGTGCTACGGTGTGTTGCGGCTGGAGGTTAGCTTTGTAAAGAGGCGAGTGGAGGAGAGTCCAAGGTCCACAGTGCGGGACAAACGTTGATTTAAGCTTAACTTTACGCACGGGCCGGGGTCTTGGGTAATCGGTTCGATAAGAAAATAGTCTTATGAGGACACTGACGGCGATTTGATTGATACTGGGGTAATGCTAAGATAGAAAATGATTATAACCACTGAACTGAACTGAACTGAGCTGAACCTCCACCCTCGCCTCCTCGCTTCCGTTTCCAACCTGCGCAAATCATAACCCGATTAACCCACCTCTTGACCCGCCTCGCATAGTGCCCACGCAACGTTAAGCGGTGCACGGAAGCCTACACCGCGGCATGAGCGGGGGATTCGGTGGCATTCTGACCAGCGACCGCAGGATCCTTGGCGAACTCCTCGTACACACTCTCATCCCCGCTGAACCGTCCAGCACCACCCTTCCCGAAGGCCAAAATCCTCTCATCGATCAACTTGACCCACTTCCTCTTCTGGTCCTTCTTGAGTACCTGGGCCGCGAATACTATCTCGGCGATGTACAAAATCCTACAGTACCCCCACCGCGGCTCTATATTAGCCCCCCTGCATACTTTGGAGAAGAAGAGGAAGAAAAAAAGGACTTACAAAATGAACCAACTAAGGCCAAACCTCCCCTTTGGCAACGGGCATTTAACGTCGAACCCCTGGGAGAACAGATAGAACTGCGTATCGCCAATGCTGCACCCAAACATGCCCCCGTAGTAGTCATAGTAGGCACCATTATTTATGTATACCACCTCCACCAGCTCCCATGACGTCTGGATAAGCCAAAAGGTGAAGAGGATGCTGTATAGGCTGATGGCGTAGACAGGGTTCAGGTGGGACTTTTTGAAGAGGACGATATCGGCCAGCGAGTGGATGAGGGTGATGAGGGAGAGGGTGAGGGTTGTCGCGCTGTTGGCGGTGGGGGTTTATTCCTTGTTAGCGAGGGACAGAAGGAGGGAAACAGGAGAAGGAGAGGAAAACAGAAAGAAGGGATCATCATACGCGAGAATGTTCACGGTAAGGGCGGTTTCCGCTATGGCTATTCCCGCGGTCGTGGTTGAGAAGATGGCCAGACCGATGGAGGTTATGAAGATGTGGAAACCGTCCCAGCGGGTATCCGACTTTGCCGTCACTTCGGTCATACTCTCTAATTCGTTGGACTCGTTATCGTATCCTATCGTTTATAACCAGCTGTAGCTGTGATCGTGAGGAGGGGGAGAGTTTAGAATTTTTGCTTTCACCTTTCGCAGTGCGGGACCGGGAGATGGTGCGTGGGTGGGCGAGCGAGCGTGCGGGGATGGGAAGGGAGGGGAGGGAAGAAAGGAGGGAGGGTGGGAGCGACAACGGAGAAGGTACCGGTACCAGTACTTATGGGTTGGAAGGAAGGAAGGGGTGCTGTCGCTGATCGGTTGCGAGTCCGCAAAACCTGATTTGGCAGTGGCTTTTGTGCGTTTGCTACTGGCGGGATGTGAGGTTTCGCGTTGTTCCAGGCGCAATGGCTGCAGTGGTGCTCTGGTCTCTGTGAAGCTGCTTTTAGGAGTGTATCATGTGTCGCTTGGCTGTGTTGGTGTGTGGGCTGCCGCTGGTGTGTTGCGTGCGGCTGGATGCTGTGGGTCTCAGGCTTCAAACACTTTTGTTTTAAACCTTGCGGGGGCACTGATGAGGCGCATATGGTATTGCTCGCTATCCTCCTCTACCCGCACTCTGCTCTACTCTACGGATACTGCGCTGCGATATGTGGCTTTGGATAATGGCTGCGGTGGGATGCCGAGCTTTGTGTGCGATTTATCTCAGGCATGTTGGTGGGGCTCGGGTTTGGTATTTAGCTAGCCTTTCAAAGAATTTCCCGCAAAGCGCTTAAACGAGCGTCTATGAACGCGGGACTTCACTACCGGTACGCTTATTCGCAGCGAGAGAGTTCCCAATCGGGAACTGCCGTTGATGTGTCGACCGGGTGGATGGATGCCTGAATGGGAAAAAAAAAACCCCCCCCAAATAAATATGCTGTATTCTGGGTTACAAATAACGGCAAGGAAGGAAGAAATCAGAAACCTCCTTCGTTATCATACGCCACCATCAGCGGAGAGAGAGAGATCAGAGATGAAATCCTCTCACTGACGAATGCGATCACCTATGAAGAACGATATCCATCCAACAATATAACCCTAGGAAATGAGACACAAGAAGGAATAGAAGGAAGGAAACCAGAGCCGTAAGTCATCAGGAGAGCACCCGGGACGAGAGAAGCACCTTCGAATCGGTTGCTTAGGGGAAAATGTAGCTCTTTCTGAGCTCGGAGATGTCCTTCTCGCTATCCGTCACCGCCGGATTCCTCTGAACGTACTGAGGGCTGGGTAGGTCGGTGTACAGATGGTGTGGAAGCATTTGCGCTCCGCACTGAGGACATCCCAATATCGGTGGCGAGATCGCCTTCAACGCCAGAACGGCTTGGTCCACCTGTCGTTGGAAGGTGTCCTTCTTTTCCTGCTTCAACGCCCTTGCCGAATAGACGATTGCCGCGACGTACAAGAGCCTAGTTTATCGACGATCAGTGGTCGGCTGGGCCTCGAGAGGTTCGGAGCGTTATGTACGTACACCAGAATCCAGGAGAATGAGAACCTGGTCTTGGGCAAAGGGCAGGACCATTCGTTGGAGCCCTGGCTCGGATAGTAATGGATGTCCACGACGCTGCATCGGTAGGTGCCGTCGGAGTATACGAAGTGGTCGTCGTAACTCATGAATCCCATCTCGACCGCTTCCCAGATGGAGAAGGTGAGCCAGAAGGAGAACATGATGCTGGACATGGCGACTACATAGACTGGCTTCAGCTTTGAGTTGAGATAGAGGGATATATCGACTACTGTGTGCACGAGCGTTATGACCCCGAGAGCTACGGCCGTGATGCTAAGGGTAGAAGGTTAGTTGGTCTTCACTGCTCAGCGGAGAGGAGGGGGAGAGGTACGCATTAATGTTGAGAACCCTGATGATTTCAACAGTGCATACCGAGATGACTGCTATTATGAATACGAGCAGCATCAATGTGACTGTAACGATGTTTTGTCCCCTCCAGCGAGCGTCGCCGTGGGGACAGAGGTTGGGGCACCTGTTGGGTGGTTTCATCTGGCTTCAGGCGTAGGGGTGAGGAAGCCTGAATGGATTGCTATCGTGGCTATCAAAGTGGGGCGGGGGGCGGGGGGGGAGGTGGATGGAAGGTTCTTATACAGCTATCGCCCGAAATTGGGTTGTAGCGTGTTTGGTCAGTATGATTTGACCGTAAGATTATTATTTTACACTTGATATGTGGGACACTAGGAGCACAGCCCACTCGCAGTGAAAGGATCGCCCAGTAATGCTCCTCTAATTGGATAATTGAGTTTGCCTTCACGGTGTCTTAGACGGGGGGGGGGGCTGTCCCGTGCGCACGCAGCAAATCTGGTGTTCCCAATAAACTATAATTCAAGTACCAGGTACTGTACTCGTACAGGAACAAAGAGAGTTAGAGTTTCCCTCTAGTCTAATCGAGGCGAGGATTAACAGTGGGGATTTCTCCCGGTGGGAATTTTCTGAATCCCTCTAGAACACTTCGTACCATGATACTATGATGCTGAAGCCTTCCGCGGCATCAGAGGAGCATGCCCGGTACCAAGTATCACCGCCATCGCAGGGTGTTCTAAATTTAGCTTGGCTATTGCTAAGGACTTCAGAACTACCGTGCTAGAGTATAGTAAACAACTTACCTGATCATCTTTAGGGCACCTCTAACTAACACGCACGAATAAAACACCCTATCGTATGCATCGGTGGGCCTGCGGAAAAAAATATTTACCCCACGTAGCCACCCCGACATGGGGGATTGCTATTCTTAGCCTGGTGCAAGGTGCAAAAACCCTTCAGCCAGCCTGCCAACCAGCCAGCCAGCCAGCCAAGGAAAAATCGGGATCGGAATAGATTTCTCGCCTCGGGTTTGTTCAAAGCCCTCTCTCTATCTCACCGGTATGGACTCCCTCTGGGATTTTTTATTATTATTACTATTTTGTCAGTGGTCGGCTGTGGATTTATTTATTTTAGTGATCAGGTAGGTATGATAATTAATAACTTGACTGTACTCGTATGCCTTGCCAGTCTGGGTGGTTAGCAAATACCGAAAGCTTGGCAAGTCCCTGTTAACTTATTCTGCTGCTCTGTGTGGAGGGTTGGACTTGTAAACCACGTATGATATGCTAAGATGGCCGTATCCTACAAGTAAGCATCGGCGCCCTAAGGTGGGATGAAACCTTCCTTGAAAAACTTTGCTCTTCGAGTTTAAGATTTGGGGGGTTCGAGAGAAGGTGGATGTTTCTGGATTTTTGTAGGTGTGATGCATAGAAACATTTCTTGTCAAAACCTGACATCTCCATCAGCGTTGGTTAAAACTTCCGAGAGCGAGAGTGAAAGGGTGTGGCATGTTGGTCTACCGGTGGCAATAGGGGCAAAGGCAGAGAGGGGTGGTGGGTATAGAAAAGCGGATGGGTCAGTGTAAGCTCTGGTAATGGTGGAGCATCAGAGTGTACCGTAGTGCTGACTGAAGGCTACGGAGCTCGCTCATAGCTACCGTATCCCATGATACTTGTAAATTTATATGGAAAGCGATTTCCCTGGTCTTGGTCCTCCCTCGCGGAATTAAAATCCATCTCACTCCTGTCATCATACTATTGGTTTTAAATCCCCTACCCCCCTGTGTTGTCTGGACATTAGGCCTGTGGACCGAAGCAGCTATGGGAGCAAGGCTAATTGGGTACCGGAAGTGGTGATAGACCAGTCGGGATCGGTCAGGGGTTTCTACTAGAGTTTTAAAATCATGGTCAAGAACGTCTATAAGAGGATTCATAGGGGCTCTTGGTGGGGTTTCTACCAGGCTTGGTCTTACAGTATAAACTCTGCTTATAGGCCAGATAAGGCCACGATGACGATTGGTTGGAGGGGGGAGAGACATGTGTGAAGATTTATTCGAGCCTTGATTGCCGCGGGAATATTGAGTAGGTAAAAGGAAAAGCCTCTTTAATGTGCTCTACTGGCTTTCAAACTATCATACTCTTTTCTGCTTTCTTGCTTAATCATAGTTTTGCTAAGCTTTCACAGAGAACGCAATTAGAATCCTCAAGAACTCTCATTTCCTGCAGATTTTAGGGCGAGACCCACGTGTAAACACTGTGTGGTAACCAATCCCCCCCGAAGGAAAAATCTAAATATAAATCTAAGATTCTCTTGACTAAAGATCCTCAAAGTGTCGGTAGCAATCGATCGGTGCCTCAGTATTCGTAGAGGAAATGCGGGTCCGACCCACCCAATAGAGAATAGTCCATAACATCATAAAGAAATCAATACATTAATGTGACAAAAATCATTAATCCGTCATGTATTAAACAAAAACTTTCTCCACAACCCCCTTGGGGTAGTCCTCGCCCAAACTGGTCTTCGGCATCTCACCATCTTGCTCCCGTATGACAGCCCTCACCACCCTGCCAGAGTACACGCTCGACAGCGGATCGGTATCCGACCTTTCCTCATTATTGCCTCCTTGCGCCATTGTTGAGCGGCCGAGCGTCTTTGCGGACACTTTCACCCCCTTCGTGACGTAGATACTGGCAGCGATATACAGAACCCTAATAAGCGCATCCAACCCCATCAGGTCAATTTATTTCCTCGCGGAATAAGTTTTTTATGATACTTTGTGTTATGTTTTTAAGAAAGGAGGTATGATAAAAAAAAAGGGACCTGACATACACCATAGCCCAAGAAAACGAGCACCTAATAACGGGTAAGGTGCAGTGAGTGACATATGGCTCCCCGGGCACATGGTTGAAGGTCATGTTCTTCACATTGCATCCGGCCGAGATTTTCGAGTCAATCCTCAAGTTGAAGGCACCCCCTGCATGCTCGTCCAGGTTTCCGACCTCAACGAATTCTACTCCGGAGATGCTTATCCAACAGACTATGAGGATGCTGTACAGGACGGCTATGTATATTTTATTCAGCGATGAGCGGGTTAGGATGAGGATGTCGAGTGTCAGGTGGAGGGCCCCGATAAGTGAAAGAGTGAGGGCTATGATGCTGTTTTTTTCTCAAAGTGATGGTCAGTGGGGTGGTGGGGGATTGGATTGGTAAGGGGTGGGATGGATATCGGAAAAGAAAGAGTACGCTAGAGTATTCATTGTCCTAACAGTTTCCACGGTTGCGACCCCAATCATCACCAACGCGCACAGGAGGAGCAAAGCCAACACACGCATCGTGTTACGTCTCGTCCAGTGGCCCTTGCTCCCCGAAAAGCTCCCCATTCTGCTAACCTTGTCCCGGAAGTTCATCTGCAACGTGAGTGATTTTTGATGATGGGAGTTGATGATAAGAAAAGTGGGCCCTTTTGATAAAAGGGGATAATAAATAGATAAATGGGAGGGGATCGGGGGGGGTGTTGCCAGGGGGGAGGTACTGGGAGGGACAAGAGACCTTATATCAGTTCGTGCTTTAGATAGAACGGTAACAGCCGCGGCGCCTGAGAAACTTGGTTCGGTTCCTTTTGCACTTGGTAGTGGGGCGCCTGGTTGCGCAATTGCTGGGAAGGAGGCACTGCCCACTTGCTTTTTTTTTTGAAAAAAAAAAAAATACCTTCCCGGAGTTGGTAGTGAAGTGGGGGTGGCTTTGTCTTGCATTGCTGGCGGACAGTGTTCTACCGGCGTACCTGTTAAATAGTGTACGATACCGTATTCATGTTAAGCCTAACTCGCTTTGTGAACAGGAATATTATCTCGAGTTGTGTTTGGCTTGAAAGAGTCGCGTAGGTGAGTGCCTCGGCGCGCGTTTGGGCGAAGGCTATGGTTGTTGCTGCCTGGCGTTTACTCGGGGGGGGGGGAGCTCTGGGTACTTGTCTGGCAGCTGAGAGGAGGTTCGGTTCGGGGTTTTTCTTTCTTTTTTTCCACCTTCGCTAGTTATGGATGGGTAAGTATCTTCGCGAGTTTCAGTTTTGGACAACATATGTTGCGTGATGATTGGCGCTTTAGCTGAGGCTGAGGGAAATGCATGGGGCTTCTGGATGATCGGAATCGGAGCCGTGTGGTTTCTAAGATAGTTTTTGGTTTTGGAAGGGGGTTTGAAGTTGGGTATATTATGGGGTCTATTGATTTGTTGAGGGTTCCTGCACACTGGTGGTGAGAGGGCCCCCTTGGGGTTCACTTCATTGTATCATATGGACACTTTCCTTTCCTTCTTCCTTGCCCTCCTTACTGAACTGCTTTTATTGGCGCTGAGTATCTCTGGTCGAGTGATTATCGGTGTTTGGGATATATCAATAATACCGCAGTATGTGGTGGTATCTTTCTGGGGTCTTCATCTACTCGTGCCAAGGTTGCAGCGCCCTAACTTAGCTGCAACCTTGGCACGAGCACCCTGTAGCTTGAAATATGATAGAGGAGAGAGTTGTCTTTAGCCTTAAAGCCTAGTGTTCTGAACTGTGGTACAAACGCCCTAGGTAGCGCTCCTTTATCACTGATAGAGCATTTTTTACTTCGCCACACACTGTATCGCTGCCATAGCCTCAAGTTCTATACCGGGCCAAATCAAATGTCCAGCCACAATCGCAGCAATCGGGGATATTCCCAAAAGATGCTGAGAACTGGGAGAACTCCACCCATGGACCGGAATTAGCATAGCGGGCGGGCACTATTGTGAGCTTAAAGTCCATACTAAGTCCATTGCCATCTCTTACACTCCTGCTTTCAGGGGTCAGAGTTTGGACAAGAAGGCGAGAAAACACTTTTGCCGCCAATGGCTCGATAATTCTTGAGGGGTTGCGAGTTGGTAAAGGAGAGACTAGGTAGGGATGGTGAGATGGATATTGCTTAAGAGGGTGGGGGGTATGGGAGCGGGGAGCTGGTGATACTGCGTTGGAGAAGTTTTTATTACAGCCAACGAGGAAGCTCTCAGGAGAAGCAGGGAGGCAGGGTGGTGCTAGGGATGGCGGGGGATGTGGAAGTAGCGGCGATCGGTGAGTGAGGCTTGACTGATTTGATAAAGGCACGACCGTTTGCTATATCCTAAGGTGCTCCCTCTTTTCCGGGATTTGGATGGTGTACTCTTCGATTGGGATGAAGTTGAGGATTCGGAGAATCTGGAACTGATGCATCATCGGGCCGGCTTAGGCCATTGGGACCTCTGGAAATGCTGGGGTCAAACATTTGAGTACGGGTTGGGCGCCTTGTTTTGTTCGGTCGCTTGTTTGACATGGGTACTTGTTCGCTTACATTCGACACGAGAAATTGTACTACGGTATTTTATTTCTTTAATACCTTTTACTGGAGTACTGAAAAGACAAATACCAGCTTGATTCTGATAGTAAAAAAAGAAGCCAAGAATAATCTCTTGTAACACCAACGAAAGAAGGAGAACAGATACCTGAGTATATGGAGAAATGGAATAAAAGCACCCTTTAGCTGCTCTCAACTCACAATCTCTCCAAATTCTAAATGCTGTAGTCTTTCTGATTCATACAAATTGTAGGAAAAACCTTCATAGTTCTTATCTTGATGTTTGTTGTCCAATGGACTCAACTTGCACTTTCTCATTTCATAAAGAACTACAGGAAAAGGTTTGAATGGGCCCCTTACAAACAATTTCACACCCCTTTGCTCAAAAAGACCAGTTACAACAAGAACTATAAATACTATGCAAAGCCCTCAACAAAAACAAACTGGTATAGGATTCACCATTTAAGGCATTTCAAGGTAGATAAAAAAAAACAGAAAAAAACATCTACAACGCTTGCCTCAACAGTATCAAGTAGCAAGTTCTAGAGAGGATTGGACTAGTGTAGTGGGAGGTATTATACCATGGTTTTCTCATTCTCTACAAAAAAACTAATGTACTTTAGAGACTGTTTGTTATGGTATAGCTGAGATGATACTGGCAAACCATGGTTTTGAAACCATGATTGACACACTGACCAATGATAAGGTCTGAATATACTAGTTTTAGGACTTCCTATGAGTCATTGTGCCAAATAGTCCCTTAGTATTTGATAATATTTTTAGGTATTCCTGTAAGTTATACAGGATCTTTCTTAACACATTTTCTGTATTAGGCAAGGCAAATGTCCCCGATATTGAATATTAGGAAAGACTGAACATCGGGTTCCAACCAGGATGCTGCAAGCTTGAAAAACCTTTCTTATTCTTCCTTATAGGTTGTCTGATTTTTTTCTTATATATGACTCCCATGAAGTTGTAGAGATGAATACGTAAGATTCTGGCATTAGGGGGAAAAAAGTCAAGTCCTAATAGGGCTTAGAACTTATATGTACGGTTTTCCCATAATACCATTCACTCTTGTACTATCATATCATTTGGATAGGACTGTGCCGTACTCGCGACTGATGGCGGGGATTAAAAACTCCCATCGGAGCATTTGAACACTATCCTCATTACGCTACCTAATATCACGTGGTGCACAAACTTCGTGGGCACTTGATAGGACCTTCATCAGCACTTCTTGTTGATATGAAATGTACAGTGCAATGGTGCACGATAGAATGGTGCAGAACTGAATGGAAGAGTAAGCGGGTATTGTGTGACTTACGAATCGGGAAAAACTAAGTTAAGATCAGTAGTAGCGGGCAGTTTGAGGATATGTGAGGTGTATGTTGCGGACTGTACTGACTGTACTGACTAAACTATACTAAACGCACTGAACCGAACAAATAGGTATCCCAACTTTACGCTATTGGGCTTTAGAGATTGCATACAGCCCGCACCATCAGTTTCGGGCGGCGGACTTCTACTCTGCCTGCTTTTCTTGATCGTGGAATGAGGTACAACAGGGTATTAGAAGGTGAAGCCTCCGCACTCGGACGCTGCGCACCTAGGGCCTAAGGTGGAGTGATTGGTTGCGCTTCGGTGAGGTTAGAGCAGATATGTGGCGCATTTTGGGCCGAGCTGTGATCTTCTCCTCTATCCTTCCCTTTTGGGGGTTTGCCCCTTATTCTAAGTAGCATTTGGATGCTGTTGGGGATGTGATGGTGTTCGTGGCGGTTTATATGAGATCGTACTAAATGTCCTGGATGATTGTGATGCTGGAGGGTGTTGCAGCTGCTGCAGTCCAGCTTGGAGCAAGGGAGCAAGCAATTGAGACATTGCCGGATTTTGTTAGTTGACTCAGAATGGTCTTAATTCTACATTGTTCGTTGGTGCCCCCCGAGTAGTAAGACTTCATCTATTCCACCTATTGGGAGCTTCTTCAGATGGTTCTTTATATGATGCTCTAAGTCTGAGATGGTAGCGAGTTGCGAGGGCTGTAAGTATCACACTTGTCCCACCGAAGAACGAAGACAGCCTAGGACAAGAGAGCGCGACAATGCTTTGGCTGCTGTGGGCGTGGACTGTAGTGTGCTGTGCTGTGGCTGCGAGTAGGTAAAACTGGGCCTGTTACTCCATCGGATGGGACTTAACATGATAGTGGCTCGACTGGGGAGGCTAATGGGCTGTTCGTTGAAATGCCAAAGTGACTAGACATTTTCAGTGATTGCAGACTCTTCGTAGTATTCTTGCTGGAAATAGCCTGCTCATGTCATTGATCTGTCCGGTGTTTATCATACCTTGGTGCCTTGAGAGAACCTGTACCTCTTGTCTATGCCTAAAGCCCACTACCTATTGATGTATATTAGAGCACCAAGTAATCCATAGTAAGGGCTATTCGCATGCATCCATCCTACCGCCCAAAATTCAACACTTCAACCCCTTGATCACTAGGGACCTTCCGTTTTCTCCCCTCTAACAACCTTGGTAACTTAGGCCAGGTACAGCCTCTCCAGCAGTACCTGTCCCGCTGCAACCCTAGCAGTAACAAGAGATGGAAGTAGCAGCAATCGAGGTGGAAGGCTTTGCTGATTTGATAAAGTCACAACAATTTACCATATCCCGAGGTGCTCTCTCATTTCCAGGGTTTGGTGGCGCATTCCTCAACTGGGATAAAGTTGTGGATTCGGAGAGTTTATAATCAGTGGATCGGCTTCTCCTTTGAGAGCGCCGGAGCTGGGCTTTGGAGCATGAGTTGCATGCGTCCCTTGTCCCATTGGCAATTTGATACGGGAACTCATCTGATTGCATTAGGCTCTCGAAATGGCGCTTTTTT